GCTGTGTGTCAGAGAGTGCTGTGTGAGAGTGCTGTGTGTTAGAGAGTGCTGTGTGAGAGAGTGCTGTGTGAGAGAGTGCTGTGTGTGAGTGCTGTGAGAGAGAGTGCTGTGTGTGAGAGTGCTGTGTGTGAGAGTGAGTGCTGTGTGTGAGAGTGAGTGCTGGGTGTGAGAGTGCTGGGTGTGAGAGTGCTGGGTGTGAGAGTGCTGTATAAATGTTAGAATGGATTGTGTGTGTAGGGGGGAGGGGGGTTAAATAAATAAAGTAGGCATTATGTCCCCCCCTCCCTTCTTACCTTTAGCCTGGGAGGGGGGGACCGGCACACTGATCCCTGGGACTGGGAAGCGGGGTTCCCTGGTGGTCCTTTTGGTGAGATCCGGTCGTTGCCATGGCAACGCGCCGGATCTCGCGAGAGGAACCCGGCGGAGCTCTAAGTTAGAGCTCCGCCGGGTCCTCTCTCCTGGTGGCTGTCTCCCTCCCTCTCCCCCCCTGCCGGCGGCCGCATTATACAGCATGTGGGCCGGTGAGGGAGATCTTTGATCTCCCCACCGCCCATCCATGGAAAACAGCGGGGCCGGCGCTCGTATAGCGCCGGCCCTGCATAGACCGGCAGGGGAGATCCTGGGACCTCCCCTGCCGGCCTCGGCCCATGGCCACCGCGGCCCACCGGGCATTTGCCCGGTGTGCCCGATGGCCAGTCCGGGCACAATCCCATCATTGGGTATAATATACAGGGAGTGCAGAATTATTAGGCAAATTAGTATTTTGACCACATCATCCTCTTTATGCATGTTGTCTTACTCCAAGCTGTATAGGCTCGAAAGCCTACTACCAATTAAGCATATTAGGTGATGTGCATCTCTGTAATGAGAAGGTGTGTGGTCTAATGACATCAACACCCTATATCAGGTGTGCATAATTATTAGGCAACTTCCTTTCCTTTGGCAAAATGGGTCAAAAGAAGGACTTGACAGGCTCAGAAAAGTCAAAATAGTGAGATATCTTGCAGAGGGATGCAGCACTCTTAAAATTGCAAAGCTTCAGAAGCGTGATCATCGAACAATCAAGCGTTTCATTCAAAATAGTCAACAGGGTCGCAAGAAGCGTGTGGAAAAACCAAGGCGCAAAATAACTGCCCATGAACTGAGAAAAGTCAAGCGTGCAGCTGCCACGATGCCACTTGCCACCAGTTTGGCCATATTTCAGAGCTGCAACATCACTGGAGTGCCCAAAAGCACAAGGTGTGCAATACTCAGAGACATGGCCAAGGTAAGAAAGGCTGAAAGACGACCACCACTGAACAAGACACACAAGCTGAAACGTCAAGACTGGGCCAAGAAATATCTCAAGACTGATTTTTCTAAGGTTTTATGGACTGATGAAATGAGAGTGAGTCTTGATGGGCCAGATGGATGGGCCCGTGGCTGGATTGGTAAAAGGCAGAGAGCTCCAGTCCGACTCAGACGCCAGCAAGGTGGAGGTGGAGTACTGGTTTGGGCTGGTATCATCAAAGATGAGCTTGTGGGGCCTTTTCGGGTTGAGGATGGAGTCAAGCTCAACTCCCAGTCCTACTGCCAGTTCCTGGAAGACACCTTCTTCAAGCAGTGGTACAGGAAGAAGTCTGCATCCTTCAAGAAAAACATGATTTTCATGCAGGACAATGCTCCATCACACGCGTCCAAGTACTCCACAGCGTGGCTGGCAAGAAAGGGTATAAAAGAAGAAAATCTAATGACATGGCCTCCTTGTTCACCTGATCTGAACCCCATTGAGAACCTGTGGTCCATCATCAAATGTGAGATTTACAAGGAGGGAAAACAGTACACCTCTCTGAACAGTGTCTGGGAGGCTGTGGTTGCTGCTGCACGCAATGTTGATGGTGAACAGATCAAAACACTGACAGAATCCATGGATGGCAGGCTTTTGAGTGTCCTTGCAAAGAAAGGTGGCTATATTGGTCACTGATTTGTTTTTGTTTTGTTTTTGAATGTCAGAAATGTATATTTGTGAATGTTGAGATGTTATATTGGTTTCACTGGTAATAATAAATAATTGAAATGGGTATATATTTGTTTTTTGTTAAGTTGCCTAATAATTATGCACAGTAATAGTCATCTGCACACACAGATATCCCCCTAACATAGCTATAACTAAAAACAAACTAAAAACTACTTCCAAAAATATTCAGCTTTGATATTAATGAGTTTTTTGGGTTCATTGAGAACATGGTTGTTGTTCAATAATAAAATTAATCCTCAAAAATACAACTTGCCTAATAATTCTGCACTCCCTGTATATTATATGATAGAAGTGATGTCATGCAATATCCCATTATTGGAGAGTAATATATAATAATATAGTAATGTGCCATTGTGTATTTGTTGTTTATTACATTGGTTTGTCTTTATTTGGTTACTGCTTGGTTTCAGTGTGAGGGCTCTGGTGGGGAAGGGGTTAAGGATGCTGGGACAGGTAAGATGGAGGATGCCAGTTGTCCGGTCCATTGCTATAGCAACCAGCAGGCGCTAGGGATGTGAGAGGTGGGCGGGGCTAATGCGGTCTCCATGGTAATTTTGACAGGGCGAAGTGCGTGTCCGTCAGCCAGCTCGGCAGCTGATTGGAGGAGCTGTCTGGTGGTGGGCGGGGTGTGTTAGATGTCGGTGGGCGGGACTTGCTGCCCATCTTCCGGTTCCGTGTATGAGGTCAAAGCCAGGCCGGAGAGCGAAGGGAAATGGAATGAAATCCGGGGGGAAACCGTGAGTTCGGCCACCGAGAGCACAGAGGCCGGAGTGCGGCTCGGAGACACAGTGCCGGCCGGCGGGAGAGAGGTGAGGGCAGCCGCCATGTCTGTCACCGGGCAGGTTACATCATGTTATCCATGGAGACACCTCCATCACCCGGAGGGACATTCCCCATCTAATAATATCAATATCACCCCGTGTAATAATATCACCCCATATAATATCACCCCATATAATATCACCCCATGTAATAATATCACCCCATATAATATCACCCCATGTAATATCACCCCATGTAATAATATCACCCCACATAATAATATCACCCCATATAATAATATCACCCCATATAATATCACCCCATGTAATAATATCACCCCACATAATAATATCACCCCATATAATAATATCACCCCATATAATATCACCCCATGTAATAATATCACCCCACATAATAATATCACCCCATATAATAATATCACCCCATATAATATCACCCCATGTAATAATATCACCCCATGTAATAATATCACCCCACATAATATCACCCCATGTAATAATATCACCCCACATAATATCACCCCGTGTAATAATATCACCCCATGTAATAATATCACCCCACATATCACCCCACATAATATCACCCCACATAATATCACCCCACGTAATAATATCACCCCACGTAATAATATCACCCCACGTAATAATATCACCCCACGTAATAATATCACCCCACGTAATAATATCACCCCACGTAATAATATCACCCCACGTAATAATATCACCCCACGTAATAATATCACCCCATGTAATAATATCACCCCATGTAATAATATCACCCCATGTAATAATATCCATGTAATAATATCACCCCATGTAATAATATCACCCCATGTAATAATAATATCACCCCGTGTAATAATAATATCACCCCGTGTAATAATAATATCACCCCGTGTAATAATAATATCACCCCATATATCACCCCATATATCACCCCATATATCACCCCATATATCAGCCCGTGTAATAATAATATCACCCCGTGTAATAATAATATCACCCCGTGTAATAATTATATCACCGTCACCCCGTGTAATATCAATATCACTCCATGTAATATCACCCTATATAATATCAATATCAGCCCATATAATATAATTACATCCCACATAGTATCACCCTATATGATATCAATATCACCCTATATAATATCACCCAATGTAATATTCTAATATATAATATCAATATCACCCCATGTAATATACTGCCTGCCATTCCCCGTGTGAGATACTGACACCCCATGTAATATCACCCTATATAATATACTGACACCCCATGCAATATCACCGTATATAATATACTGACACCCCATGTATTATCAGTATCACCCCATGTAATATACTGACACCCCATGTAATATCACCGTATATAATATACTGACACCCCATGTAATATACTGACATCCCATGTAATATCGCCCTATATAATATACTGACACCCCATGTAATATCAGTATCACCCCATGTAATATACTGATACCTCATGTAATATCACCCTATATAATATACTGACACTCCTTGTAATGTCACCCCATATACTATCACCCCATGTAATATCACCCCGTGTAATATCAATATCACCCCGTGTAATATCACCCCATGTAATATCAATATCACCCCATGTAATATCACCCCGTGTAATATCACACCATGTAATATCAATATAAATATCACCCCGTGTAATATCACCCCGTGTAATATCAATATCACCCCGTGTAATATCACCCTATATAATATCAATATCAGCCCATATAATTACACCCCACATGGTATCACCCTATATGATATCAATATCACCCTATATAATATCACCCCATGTAATATTCTAATATATAATATCAATATCACCCCGTGTAATATACTGCCCGCCCCTCCATCACCCGGAGTGCCATTCCCCGTGTGAGATACTGACACCCAATATAATATACTGACACCCAATGTAACATCACCCCATATAATATACTGACACCTCATGTAATATCACCCTATAAAATATACTGACACCCTATACAATATACTGACACCCCATGTAATATCAGTATCATCCCATGTAATATACTGATACCTCATGTAATATCACCCTATATGATATACTGACACTCCTTGTAATATCACCCCACATAATATCAATATCACCCTATATAATATACTGACACCGCGTGTAATAGCACCCCATATAATATCACCCTATATAATATACTCACTGCCCCTCCATGACCCTGAGTTCCATTCCCCGTGTGATATACTGACACCCCATATAATATCACCTTATATAATATACTGACTGCTCCTCCATCACCCTGAGTGTCATTCCCGTGTAATATCATACCACCCCATATAATATACTGACACCCCATGTAATACCACCCCATGTAATATACCTACACCCCATGTAATATCACCCTATATAATATACTGACACCCCGTGTAATATCACCCTATGTAATATACTGACTGCCCCTCCATCACCCTGAGTGCCATTCCCCATGTAATATCACCCTGTATAATATACTGACACCCTGTGTAAGATGTACTGACACCCTATATAATATACAGACACCCCGTGTAATATCACCCTATATAATATACAGACACCCCGTGTAATATCACCCTATATAAGATACTGATACCCCATGTAATATATACTGACACCCTATATAATATACAGACACCCCGTGTATTATTATTATTATTATTATTATTATTATTATTATTATTATTATTATTATTGCCATTTATATAGCGCCAACAGATTCCGTAGCGCTTTACAATATTATGAGAGGGGATTTAACTATAAATAGGACAATTACAAATAAACTTACAGGAACAATAGGTTGAAGAGGACCCTGCTCAATCGAGCTTACATTCTATAGGAGGTGGGGTGTAAAACACATTAGGACAGGAATTTGCAATCAAATAAGGTGGGCTGCCCTTTAGGAGAGGGCAAGAGATGGGTATGTGAGGTAGGGGTTAGTCTTGGAGGCCATAAGCTTTCCTAAAGAGATGGGTTTTAAGGCACTTCTTAAAAGATGCAAGACTAGGGGAGAGTCTGATGGCGGGAGGCAGGCTATTCCATAGGAAGGGAGCCGCCCGCGAGAAGTCCTGCAAGCGCGAGTTGGCCGTACGGGTGCAGACAGGAGGTGGTCACGGAGAGCGGAGAGACCGAGAAGGGACATACCTGTGGATCTGTGAGGAGATATAAGAGGGGCTAGAGTTGTTCAGTGCTTTATAGGTGTGAGTTAGTGCCTTGAATTGACTCCTATAGCACACAGGAAGCCAATGTAAGGACTGGCAGAGGGGTGAGGTGTGAGAGAACCGACTAGAGAGGAAAATCAGTCTAGCAGCAGCGTTCATTACAGACTGTAGGGGTGCAGTACGGCTTTTGGGAAGACCAAGCAGGAGAGGGTTAAAATAATCCATGCGTGAAATTATTAGAGCATGGACAAGCTCCTTGGTAGTATCTGGTGCAAGAAAGGGGCGGATGCGGGCTATGTTTTTAAGATGGAATTTACAGGATTTGGCAACATGCTGGATGTGAGGCTCAAAGGTGAGACCAGAGTCAAGTATGACGCCAAGACAGCGCACTTGCAAGGATGGGCTGATGTTGGTACCACAAACTTGAAGGGAGAGCGAAAGAGGAGGATCAGTATTAGGAGGAGGAGGAAAGACAAGGAGCTCAGTTTTTGAGAGATTGAGTTTCAGAAAGCGGGAGGACATCCAGTCAGAGATGGAAGAAAGGCAAGCAGTGACACGTTGCTGGACAGCAGGGGAGAGGTCTGGGGAGGAGAGATATAGCTGGGTGTCATCAGCGTACAGGTGTTAGTGGAATCCAAATGAGGTAATAAGTTTGCCAAGAGAGGCAGTATAAAGAGAAAATAGGAAGGGACCAAGGACGGAGCCTTGGGGGACTCCAACCGAGACAGGGTGAGGGGAGGAGGTATCATTAGAAAAAGAGACACTGAATGAGCTTTGGGAGAGATAAGAGGAAAACCACGAGAGGACAGAGTCACAGAGACCAAGCGATTGCAGAGTTTGAAGAAGGAGAGCATGATCAACGGTGTCAAAGGCCGCTGAGAGGTCAAGAAGAATTAGTATGGAGTAGTGGCCTTTGGATTTAGCTGCGATTAGGTCGTTAGTAACTTTGATAAGGGCAGTCTCTGTAGAGTGGAGAGGGCGGAAGCCAGATTGAAGGGGGTCAAGGAGAGAGTTGGAATTGAGGAAATGAGACACACGGGTAAAGACGAGTCTTTCCAGAAGCTTTGAGGAAAAAGGGAGCAGGGATATAGGACGGTAGTAAGAGGGGGTGGACGGGTTTAAGGATGCTTTTTTTTAGTATAGGTACTACAGTGGCATGTTTAAGGTCAGCAGGGACGATGCCAGAAGAGAGCGAGCAGTTGAAGATGTGTGTTAGAGAAGGCACGAGACAAGTGGAGAGAGATCTGATGAGGTGAGATGGGACCGGATCGAGCGGGCAAGTGGTGGGGCGAGAGGAGCAAAGAAGAGCAACCACCTCTTGGTCAGTGGCTGGGGAGAATGTCTGAAGGGTAGGAAAGGCATGATCAATGTGTGCTTGAGAAACAGAAAGGCAAGGAGGGGAGAATTCTTTCCTTAGCTGTTCAATTTTGTCAGTGAAGTAACATGCAAAGTTATCAGCAGTAAGGTTGGTTTGGGGGGTGGCCACAGCGGGGCGAAGAATAGAATTAAAGGTGTCAAAGAGACGCCTGGGGTTGCGGGAACATGAACTAATGAGAGAGGAAAAGTAGGACTGTTTGGCAAGGGCTGCACTGTATGAACACAGTATGAATCTATAATGGAGAAAGTCTGACTGGGTGCGAGACTTCCTCCAGGAGCATTCAGCACAACGGGAGCATCTTTGCAGGTAGCGCGTTGATTTAGTATGCCATGGTTGGGGGCGGGTCCTCCTTGAGGTGCTTGTTTGGAGTGGTGCTGCAGTGTTCAAGGCAGATGTAAGAGTAGAGTTATATATGGAGATGGCCAGTGAAGGACAGGATAGGGAAGGGATGGACAGCAGTTGTGAATCAATGTCAGCTGACAACTGTTGGAGATCAAGAGAATTAAGGTCCCTCCTGAGTTGAGGCTGGTTAGGCGGAGGTTGTTGGGTGAGTGGGTACGTGAGAGCAAACGATAAGAGGTGGTGATCAGAGAGTGGATAAGGAGTGTTGCAGATATTAGATACCGTACATGCATAAGTGAAGATTAGGTCAAGGGTATTGCCAGCTACATGGGTGGGAGAATTTGCCCACTGTGATAGCCCGAGGGAGGAAGTAATTGAAAGTAGTTTATTGGCTGCAGAGGTCAAAGGTGGGTTTATAGGAATATTGAAGTCCCCGAGAATTAGGGATGGGATGCTAGAAGAGAGGAAATAGGGTAGCCAGGCAGCAAAATGGTCAAGGAAGAGAAGAGGAGAACCAGGGGAACGGTAAATAACAGCAATGTTAGCAGCGAAGGGTTTGAAAAGGCGTATTGAGTGTAATTCAAATGACGGGAAAGAGAGGGAAGGGGGGGTGGGAAGAGGTTTAAAAGAGCAGTGAGGGGAGAGGAGAAACCCAACACCACCACCTTTACATTCAGAGTTTCTTGGGGTGTGGGTAAGTTGGAGACCACCGAAGGACAAAGATGCAGGGGTGGCAGTGTCAGAGGGGGAGAGCCAGGTTTCTGTTAAGGCTAGTAAATCTATTGAACGAGAGATGAAGTAGTCATGGACAGCAGTGGATTTAGTTATATTGCAAACAGAGCGTGCGTTCCAGAGGGCAATATTAAAGGAGGATTCAGAGGAACAAGAGATGGGTATGAGATTAGTGTGGATCCTTGGGTTAGTATGTGCTGAGTTTGTTGAGAGGGGACCGGGGTTTGGAGAGACATCACCAGCTGCTAGGAGCAGAAGGATCGAAAGGAAGTGAAGGTGGGAGTAGGATTTGAAAGTTTTGTAGGAGGGTATGTATGTAGAGGATTTGGAACGAGTCGGTGGAGATAGGCTGGAAAGGTATGTGTAGAGTGCATGGGATGAATAGAGAGGGGAGGGGAGTAAGGTGGAAGTGATGATGATGGTGTTGCCAGGGACAGGTGAGTGAAAGGATAGGGATATTTTAGTAATGACAGAAGTTAGTGTTAAAGTGAAAAATAGGAGGCCCAGTCTCTGCTCTGAAGATTCAGCAGGACTTGGTTGCTTGGGAGTGCTGGGTGTTAATGCTGTTTTAAGTGTAATATCACCCTATATAATATACAGACACCCCGTGTGATATCCCCTTATATAATATACTGATACCCCATGTAATATATACTGACACCCTATATAATATACAGACACCCCGTGTGATATCCCCTTATATAATATACTCACACCCCGTGTGATATCCCCTTATATCATATACTCACACCCTGTGTGATATCCCCTTATATAATATACTCACACCTCGTGTGATATCCCCTTATATCATATACTCACACCCTGTGTGATATCCCCTTATATAATATACTCACACCCCGTGTGATATCCCCTTATATCATATACTCACACCCTGTGTGATATCCCCTTATATAATATACTCACACCCCGTGTGATATCCCCTTATATCATATACTCACACCCTGTGTGATATCCCCTTATATAATATACTCACACCTCGTGTGATATTCAGACACCCCATGTAATATCTCCTTATTTTATATACTCACACCCCGTGTGATATCCCATTATATAATATACTGATTGCCTCTCCATCACCCTGCATGGTATTCTGTGTAATATCTATCACAAAAGTAATATCACACCCGGCAACATACAGACTCTATATAATATCATCTGTATAACAGATAGCTGCACACCTTGTGTAAAATACTGCATGTACAGACAGTGATTCTCCATATTAGACTGCTTCACCTTGTATAATACATTGGCAAGCATCAGCGGTGTGTAATCGTGTTCTGTATATGGACACCTCCATAATACCCCACATCACCCTAAATATAATGTATTTACCTGCTAAATGTTTCCTTGTTCTGTATAGAAACGTCACCACATGGAAGTCTTTGGAGAATTCTATTACTCTGTCACTTCCAGCCACTGCAGTAGATAACGGTGGCAATGAGCACCTGTCCATCCAGAAAACTTTGGAACTTATTCTCAAGTTGCCAGTGTCCTGCCTTTTAATTTTATGCACTAATTTCTAGCTTTTTTCTTTCTTTGTAGATTACCCTTATTTGTGTTTGAACATGGGCCCCAGGAAGTTACGCTTGCTCTGGCAGTTTCTGCTCTTTCTTGTGTTGGCTCTGAAGATTCTATCAGCCGCAGATTTCGACCCATATCGCATTCTGGGCCTCAGCCGGACAGCAAGCCAAGTGGACATTAAAAAGGCTTACAAGAAGCTTGCCAGAGAATGGTAGGTTTGTTGGCAGCTGGTCTTTTCTGTTGTCAGGTGAGCTGCGGTAGCTTACAGTTTATTCTGCGTTTTTTTTCCTAGCATATACTGGCGGTAAGAGAGGGATGTTCTTACTTAAGGTAAACAAGTAGTCGCTATATTTAAATGAGCACCTGTCCATCCAGAAAATTACAGAGACCACCCACCTTTTCATACGTTAAATAACTGCAAGCAGCCCCACAGCGTGCAGGATGGGAATTAGGATGGTGAGGTGCATGGTTTACATCCTGGGAAGCCTGGCAAAAGTTACTCTGCAAGTCTGGCAGCTCTTTTTTTAATTATTATTTTATGGCACGTAGGGAATTCACAAGTCGCTAGAGTCGGCCCTGGGAGGCACGCCTATGATTGAGCAGACATGGAGTACACATGGCGAGTACAAATGCTGAGGTGGCGTTTGCGTTTCACCCAAAAAAGTGCGCTACTGCACTTGCACAATTGGAATTCAATTTATGGCTCCAAATTTTAGGAGCCTGTTTAGGCAATGTACACCTGTCTGACAGCAAAGGTTGCAGGGATTTCGTGGCAACAGCCTCCTCACACGGTCCTGAAGTCTTTAACCCCTTAAGGACACATGACCTGTGTGACATGTCATGATTCCCTTTTATTCCAGAAGTTTGGTTCTTAAGGGGTTATGGTAAGGAAAATTCCTTTTCTTTTACCGTAAAGGGACACTATAGTATCCAAAACACCTTTTAGTTTAATGAAACCGTTTTGGTGTATAGATCATGCCCCTGCAGTCTCACTGCGCAATTCTCTGCCATTTCTGAGTTAAATCACTTTGTTTATGCAGCTCTAGTCACACCTGCCTGCATGTGACTTATGCAGCCATCCTAAACACTTCCTATAAAGAGTGATCTAATGGTTACACTTCCTTTATAGCAAATTCTGTTTAATTTTGAAGTTCTTGTCTCCTACTTTAATAGCCATGTAGACCCTGTAGGAACCTACAGAACTTCTAAAGCAAGTTGTTGTCTGAAAGAAAATTAAACCATTTTTGTTTTTCATGCAGGCTGTGTCGGTCACAGCCATGGAAGGTGGCTAGGGCTGCATAAACAGAAACAAAGTGATTTAAAGTCTAAATATTATTTATTCAGTATTGAATATGTCACCCCATGCTAGACGGCTGTAAGAATAAGATTTGTAACCAATGCTCAGCAGAATCCTTTCAAAGAGCTAAACCAAAGGTGATGCATGTTTTTTTTTTTTTTTTTTAACTGGTTCCATGAAAACCTCTCCCAGACTGAAGCATTTAAAGAAGCAACCACTAAATACAGAGATTCTACATCTGTCCGTGACAGAGCCGTTGAAGGAAAGAACAGGCAGTTCTTTTCATCTTCTGACTTGTCGTCATGTGTATTGCTCACATTCATTTTGGTTGGATGCTGGCCAGGAGTGGACTTCTGATTCTGGCTTGTTAAAGAGGTGGTAGTTGCTGTGGGTTAAGGTTAAACTCTATTGGAAAAAAAGGAAGTGTTTCCCAGTTCATCCAAGATATTCAGGCCTCATGATCAGGAATGGAAAAACCTGGAGAAGAAATCCAGGCTTTTCAAACTGATCTTCAAATTACAAGATTCTGTTGACTGGGAAGGATTGTCAAAGGTTGATGTACACGTTGCACAGTTATCCACAAAAGCCACCATTCCAAGTGGACAAGCGAAGGGACACTCCCTGCAGGAGAACTTTTCAAACATCACCCTTCCAAGGTAAAGCCAACATTGGCGTCAGTAGCCAGAGCTCAGAGGCTACAATCTCTGGAAGATTTGTCTCCTAGAAGGAACGGACAAATAACCGAATCATCTCTTGAAAAACATGAATTATGTGACATGACAGGAGAACATCTGAAACTGTCAGCTCGGATCATGGATCTATCATCTGTGAGAGCAATCTGGCTAAAATCCTGGACTGCAGATACAGCTTCTAAAGGCACACATTGTTTGTTCCTCTGTTGGAAGAACTGATTAAGCAAATGTCTGACACAAAGAATGCTATTCCTCAAGAAAAGAGGCCAACGGAACAGACTGTTCTTTCCACACACACAAGATCTTACAGATATAATGGTCAGATTTACATCTTCCATAGGCAACTGCAGAATATCAGGTCCATTGATGAACAGTCTCATAACAGGCAACATAAAAGGAGACCATTATGATGCCAGACAAAGAATGGGGAGAAGATTGCAAGCGTTCATTCAGCAATGGGATCAGATCACTTAATACCCTTGGGTGTTGGACACTGTTGCAAATGGGTACAAAAGTTTCCTTCTTTCCTGTTCCTTTGTTCAACTTACAGTTCTTAAGTGAAGACCAAGGATATTTAACAAGCTTCTTTTACCTCTGGCCACTGGGCCCAGAGACCAATGACTTTCAGTCGTCCCTTATTTAGACGATTGGTTTCTCAAATCTGTGGTCTGTCTCTTTCCACTCGTGTAAAAGCTCATTTCACAAGAGTTATTGCTACTTCATGGGCAGCAAGGGCATTCTCCTGAGGACATCTGTAAGGCGGCGACTTGGACATCAGTCAGTACCTTCATCCGTCATTACAGGCTGCATATCTTTTTGTCGCCAGAAGCTGCTTTTCTTCTGCTGTATCCTGACGTCCCACCCAGTTTGGGATGTAGCTGTATCCCTCCGGTATTAACGCTATACCAGGAGAAACAGACATTTTACTTACAGTATTAGTATAACGGCAGTACATATCCCCCTTCTAATAAAGTATTTTAAATTTTTTTCAGTATCTGGTCTCTTGGTTCTTCTTGCTATTACTGATGCTGCGGGCTACTTGTGGTTATTTAAGGAATGTGCGGGTGGGGTTTCTTTTTGTAAATTACATATTTAATTATAGAGGCTTGTCGTCCACCTTAACGAAGAACATTCCTCTTATACTGCCACTATACTAAAGAAAAAATAATTTGCTGTACGTTTTCAAGATGTTTAAACAGAACTTGGCCAAACCATTTTGGACATTTAACCTCTACCGTAAAACTAGTAGTGTCCTATTCTAGTCTATGGACTTAGTCTATCCACCTGCAGTAATCTGTGGCTTTATATGTTGCTATGAGCGTGGAATCCTTTCTAATGGCAGCAGAGTCAATAAAGCTGGGACATGGTCTGCTGGATGCATGCACTGCACTAAACTCACGGAGTGTGATTGGTAGAAGGAAAGTGGGGTAAATGGCAATTATAGATCTTTGGCCACGGCATAGTTTCTTCTAAATGTTAATGGTGTCCAACTGACGGTTCTGTCTTTTTCTTCTCTTTCAGGCATCCAGATAAAAACAAAAATCCTGGAGCAGAGGACAAATTCATCCAGATCAGCAAGGCCTACGAGGTACAACACGCTCTCAATGCACCCAGTTCTTAAACGCAAACTACAAAGAAACATCCTAAGCCAGAACACTAAGAAGCTAGGAAATGGTTAGGTTGAATTTTTAAGCTACAGCAATGGCGTGGCTGTGGTGGTGTGTGTGCACACCTTTATTTACTCACACAATACCAGATGTGATCCCACGGTTACTCTCGCAGTGCATTGTGGGAGCCCACAGCCTAGACCTGGGTATGAGCATCAGGCTGATGTTATAGGTTAGCTAATACTGCAGGGGGATTTATCAAGGAAATATGAAATGGGGGCACAGAATCTGTTGCATTTGGAAAAGTGTTGTCTGCCTTCTTTGTACATTGTGACAGTTTTTTTTACACCTCCGTGGTTCTGTATTATCACTTTTTATACGTGGCCTAAAAGAACCCCGGAAAATCGAATACTTTACTGGACGCAAAACGATGCCTAAAATATTTAATCTCTTTCAGTTTTTCAAAAAGTGGAGCAGTCTCCATGGAAACCAATGATATTTTCTGCAGTTTGCTCCACATTTTATAATTTTGCAGCAGAATTGACCTTTAGACAGATTAAGGTTTCCTACTTGCCCAAAGTGTATCTGTTCTAAAATAACTTATGGGTTTTCTCCACATACAGTGCTGAGGTGGCTGTGGTGGTTCTGGTGTTTAAAGAGTCGATGCAATAACAATGACATTATATGAATTTGTGAGAGAGTATTTTTTTAAAACAATTTTCCCTAAATGCTGAATGCCTCAGTTTGCTTCCTCTAAATCTGTGTGATGTTGGAAGTGAGTCCTCTAACCCTCTCCCTTTTTAGATCCTCTCCAGTGAAGAGAAAAGAAGTAACTATGACAGATATGGAGACGCGGGCGAGAATCAGGGCTATTCACAGCAGCAGCAGCATCATCACTTCCGGCATTTTCACGACAGCTTCTACTTCGACGAGTCCTTTTTCCACTTTCCCTTTAACTCCGAACGCAGAGACTCCACTGATGAGAAATACCTCCTCCAATTCTCGCACTACATTAATGAGGTGGTCCCAGACAGCTTCCGCAAGCCCTATCTCATCAAGATCACCTCAGACTGGTGTTTCAGCTGCATTCACATCGAGCCCGTATGGAAGGAGGTGGTTCAGGAGTTGGAGGGAATTGGTAAGCAACTTTGATTTACCTTCTGAAATACTTTGCAGAAACAGGCAAAAAGCCAAATGGCTGCTGAATATTATTTTATTATCCCCACTTACCCTTGTTCCTGACAGTGTAATAAAACATGGGAGTTTAATGTGCCCCACTGCCGAGACAAGAACATAATATGGCTGCAATTTAAAGATGGTCTTTAAATCGCAGAGATTCTTCTCCAGCTCTCCATCTGTAATAACGGAGTTTGCATGATTAGTCCTTCCAGCAGGTTATTCTGCTCCTCTGGTGACCATTAGCTGTTCATGGCAGATTGAAGAGGATGAGCACAGGTCAGAAGGCACAGCTAGGCATATCCATGCTGCTTTATAATAACCTTTCACGGAAATTCTCTAACCTATTAAATACTGGAAAAAGCACAACGGATACAGTTCATAAAACAAAAATCTTATTTTAACCATTTGTTTCAGACTTAAGATTCGTGTTTTGATTTACAGTATAATGTTTATTTAGATTCTACAGTGATTATTACTTTCCATCATATAAACTAACTCTAATGGGAACATCTAGGGAAAACCAAATGCATTTAGAGGTTGTTTTGTTTAATATGGCTTTGGCTATGTGCGGTGATGCAAGTCGCTGTTTATTATTGCTATGTGAAGTTCTATTTATCATTGAACTGGATATGATAGTCTATAATACGTACTTACATCACCATGCTGATTCACTGTGCAGAGAGTTTTCAGTATTGTTGCAGATGTCCAGGGGTCAGACGGATCCATTATTCAACTACGACCCTGGAGTTTTGCTTAAAGGACCACTATAGGCACCCAGACCACTTCAGCTCAATGAAGTGGTCTGGGTTCCACGTCCCTCTAGTGTTAACCCTGCAGCTGAAAACATAGCAGTTTCAGAGAAACTGCTATCGTTCACTGAGGGTTAATGCAGTCTCACTGACAGCCGCTAGAGGCGCTTCCGTACCTCTCACTGTGAAAATCACAGTGAGAAGACCCTGAAAATCACAGTGAGAAGACGCTGAAAATCACAGTGAGAAGACCCTGACGTCCATAGCAAAACATTGAGAAATGCTTTCATATGGGCTGTTTGAATGCGCGCACGACTCTGATGTCGGCAGGAGGAGGAGAGATCACCAGCACAGAGGGAGCCCGGCACTGGATAAAGGTAAGTGGCTGAAGGGGTTTTAACACCTTCAGCCCAGCGGGAGGGGCGCCCTGAGAGTGGGGGGGACCTAATGACCCTATTGTGCCAGGAAAACGAGTTTGTTTTCCTGGCAATATAGTGCTCCTTTAATTGTTTGTTTATTTTTTAGCCAGTATTTGAAATGCAACCCTAGGTAAATACAGTAACTTTGCTTCTGTAATATGTAAGTTAATTAAATATGGTTCAGCAATTGCAAACAGAGAGATCTATTACTGCTGTGACCTTTAATCTTCCATGATTTGCTGTGCACTGGCTGTCACAGAGGCGGTTAGTAAATTGGCGTTACTTGCTCCTGTAAGTGGAGGCTGTACATCTGTTTCCTGTTTTAGGTGTTGGCATTGGTGTGGTCCACGCAGGATACGAGCGACGTCTGGCCCACCATCTTGGGGCACACAGTACACCGTCCATTTTAGGAGTGATTAATGGCAAAATCTCATTCTTTCACAATGCTGTGCTTCGGGAAAACCTGCGGCACTTCGTAGAGAGTCTCCTCCCAGGAAACCTGGTGGACAAGGTGAGGCCGGTACCAGGAAACTGACTGGGGCAGACAATGCCAGCTGTTGTAATGTATTTCCTTACAATATGTGTGTTTTATTTCATCTCTTGTCTTTATTCAGATAACAGATAAAAATTACATTCGGTTCTTATCCAACTGGCAGCAGGAGAATAAGCCTCACGTGTTGCTTTTTGATCAAATGCCGCCGGTTCCGTTAATTTACAAGGTAAGACGATCCCACTCCGTTCCTTTATTAGTGGCGTCCACAAAACGTGCCTCAGTGTGGATTCCCATCTTATCATTGCCGAAATGAAAGTGCTGCTTCTGCTTTCTTACAAATAGCTTGTTGTGGCATTTCATATAGTGTTCTAAAATATGACCATGCCAGGTTTTTTACTAAAATTATTTTCAAATTTTAGAACCGAGTAGCCGAACTGAAAGCGTTGCTGAATTTTCCCAGTTTTGCTCTTTTTTTTGCTAGTTTTGCTAATTTGATATTCAGTTTAAATTTTCACTAGTGAACTCCCCTCACATTTAGATTTTGTGCTCGCCATTTGTTACAACACATCACTGTGGGACCATGCAGACAGCAGAATGACTTCATGTCATAGTTTCTGTATATTTGATACTGATTTTAATCATACATTCCAAATCTGTGCATTTAAATTTGTTTTGTTTTTCTTATCTTAATCTATCTCTACTTTCAGCACAGATTTTAGGGAAATGATTTGCCAGTTCTCTGGCATTGAATAGGATATTAACAGCAGGTGTCAGATGTTTTAATCTAAATGTCCCTACCCAACACCCTATGGCTGGGCTTTAGTAATTGCTTAAGTTTTGGATGCTCTCCACAGATTTGGCACAATATTAGGGAATGACCCACTGCAATGCCTGAACTGTCTGCATTCGGTGATTTGTCTTACTTCTGCTTTCAGTTAACCGCCTTTGCATATAAAGACTATTTGTCGTTTGGTTACGTGGATTTGGGACAGAGGGAGGCCGAGCAGATGAGCAGCCAGTATAATATCAATATGTATTCCCCAACCATGCTGGTGTTTAAAGAACACATCCATAAACCGGCGGACGTTGTCCAGGTAAGCAGAGTTCTCTTTAGTAAGTTTCCGAAATCATATGCATGCCTGAGATTGTGTGATCTGAATCTTCAGCAGCTCTTAGTCATATTTTCTGTGAGCTTTCATCAAGTCTGCTGTCTCTGGAGCACACAAAGGCTTCTGCGAGGTAGAAAAAAAGATAATATATATATATATATATATATATATAATTTCCTGTTGAAATGTGCCTTTTTAACCCCTTAAGGACACGTGACATGTCATGATTCCCTTTTATTCCAGAAGCTTGGTCCTTAAGGGGTTAAAGTTCTGCATTTTATTGATGATTTTTGGGGGCAGAATTTAACTTAGAGGCAGAAAGACAATGATGGAATTTTAATACAGACTTTTTTAGAAGGGGCTCTAATCGTAAATTGTTCTTTACTTGTCTGCACGTTGAAATGTTAACTTCTGTGAAATTTCTAGCTTTCATCTTTTGGCAATTTTAAAGAATTCTTTCTGGTTGCAGGCCCGAGGAATGAAGAAGCAGGTCATCGATGATTTCATTTCTACTAATAAATTCCTGATGGCTTCAAGGCTGACCAATCAGAAGCTGTTTCAGGAGCTGTGCCCAGTAAGGAAGTCACACCGCCAACGCAAGTACGTGTCACTGTATTCAACCTGCAACACTGGGGGATGGAGTTTTTATCCAATTTAGAAATGTAGCAGTTTAGACGTAAAATGTATTTAATGATTCAACAATAACTGAACCTTCAAGGGTAAATTTGCTTTATCTTTTAACATACATGCAGTTTTTCATTACCTATTGCACCAAGTAATATCTGGTACCAGTCCTCCTGAAATTACTGTGTGCTATTATTCTTATAATGAACAAATGGTGGTTAATATGGGTGTTAGGACCCATATTACAAGAGATTAGGTCCTGATAAAATACTGGCTAAGCATCATGGGAATTGTAGTTCACAAACCTCTCTAGTCCCCAGGAAGCAGTGGCTGGTGAGGTATATTGAAATGTGGCATTTTGCGTGCCTTGTGCTTGTTCTGACTACTTGACATTATTTGCAGGTACTGTGTCACGTTGCTGACCGGCGAAGGAGACAAGTTCCAGAAAGCCTACGAGTCTTTCTTGGCGTTTGCTTCAGCCAACACGAAGGACACTTTGAGATTTGTTCACGTATTCAAAGACCGGCAGAGAGAATTGACTAGCGCACTACTAACAGAAGAGGATAAACACCCTGACAAGTCCTCTGTAAGTATTTACTGTAACGTCTTAAGACTCAGTTTGTATGATTTTAGGTTCAGTGGACTTAAGTAACTCTGCCTTGCTAGACACAGGATTTCTCTTCGATCCTGCACCAATTACAAAATCCATTGTATAAAAGCCACTGAAACTGAGAAATTCGAGTCCTTTAGTTGCAAGGTAGTGGTTGAGGGTCATTCGTTACTGTGCAAAGAGCTCACGGTCTCCTGCCTTCCTGAATAAAGCTACTCAGTGACATTCTTTGCTGGCACTAGATGCAGGCAGTATACATATTGGAAATCATTCTCGGACACTCGTTTGTTGCTGCAAGAGTTTCAGATTTTACAAAAATGGGAGAAAGATGTGAATTTCAAAGTAATCTGAAAGCACTGCTGACTTAGAGAATTGTTCGAGTTCGGCTATCTTTTCACCTTAAAGGAACGCTCCAGAGCTTGCTGAAAAGCTTTGTGTCTTCTGTTTTTAGATATAACTATAATGAAAAATGCATAATTAAATGCATTCAAGTTTGTATTTGGGGTATATCTACTATAACAATGATTTTTTTTTCTTTTGCATTTGGGCAGTGGGGTGTCCCTTTAAATTTGAAACTCCCCTTAAATTGTCACTTTGAATAACCCTGTGCGTGTGCGTACCATTTTTCACCTGTAGGTGGCAATATTGGAAAGGAGAAACTCTGCCGGGCGGATTGTGTATAAAACATTGCTGAAGATATGGAGTGGGAGTGAGGAAAATAAATTTGCGCTGCTCGACTTTCTGGACCGGTTACGAAAAGACCCGAGTGTCTTGTCCTCCGAAATCATCCTGAGTGATCTGAATGATGAGCTTGCTCCTGTAAGTCATTTTTCGAGTATTTTACAGTTTTAACAGGTGTTAACGTGTCGTCATTGCAATCTAATCAATGTATCGATTTTTAATTGTATTATCTCTCTCTTTATTGTAGGTGTTTTTTCTGCGCTGGTTCTACACAGCAGTAGATTACTGGGCTGATGTTTGGGAGAGCGTTTTACATAATAATTGGTTTGTACCTCACTGCCTAAGGTTCTCTGTTACATTTAGTAAATCATATTAACTTCGAGCTGCTGTGCCCAGTACATTTTGATATCTGGAAAGATTTCTTGTATTGTGTTTCTCTTTTGTGAGGCCGGCCGTGTTTAGCAGTCTCTGAGTCACAGGTTTGATTCCTGACGGGATAAGTTTAGTCCTTCATCCTTCTGAGGACAATAAAATGCGTTTCATGACGATGAGAAATAATACCATCCAGATCAGGAATAGGCAACCTTCAACACTCCATGTGTTGTGCACTATATCTCCCCTCCCCCAATGCTTTGCCAGCATTATGACCGCTGTAGTCCACAACTTCAACTTTTGGAGTGCCAAAGGTTGCCCTAATAAAGACCATGGGGCATACTTGTTAACTAGGGAAAGACAAACTGTACGTTTCCTGGTTTAATATTTTATTATTACTATTGCATAAAATTCATTTCCTTTCTATAAAAATAATAAAACTATTGCTTAATATTATTGTATGACTTCTCTTATGCAGATGTTTTAGATTGATATCTAGAGCAGCAAATCCTGTGAAGAATATAAGAGATGGTTGTCAGTCAGATAACCGGTCCTGTTACTTCCTGGTTTGGTTAGCTCAGTGGTACTAAAATCAAGAGGCAGCAATTACCCAGAGCACCTGCCTTGTAATGACTTCTCATTGAGCTGCACTGGGAAGGCTGTGATTGGACAGCCACAGAAAGTCTGTGCGGGGTTAGAAGGGGAGGGCTTGTAAAGGGTACAGACAAAAGAACTGCAGCATTTACAAGTTTGTTTGTTTTTTGTTTGTTTGTTTTTTTTTTTGTTTTTTTAGATATACCCCTATGGGAAAATGCATCATTAACCTTTTCATTGTGGGGTATATATACTAAACTGTGATTATTTCTTGCATTTTGGCATTGGAGTATCCCTTTAATACACACTGTACCTGTGAGGCTGATGTTTGGTGCAGAATCCTGCAGTCCACACGTTGTGTATTCCAAGTCCAGCACAGCGACCTTTCTTTTGTTGTGGTTGTTACACCTTTATCACAGGAAGATTCTTGTTTGGAAGAGGTTTAGTCCGAATTTGCCAGGGTTTATTTGTGGGTGACGGATGGGTTTTCTGTTGCAGGAGAGAGATGATGCCACTGCTGTCCCTGATCTTCTCCGCACTTTTTATCCTCTTTGGGACGGTTATAGTTCAGGCTTTCAGGTAACAAGCCGCAAGGTTTTTCATTTTTTAGAAGTACAAATTCAGAAATGCTTGTTCCTGCAGATGCTTATTCTGCTTTTCCTTTTAGTGACTCGAGTGATGAGAGAGATTCGGTTCCTTCTGAAAAAGATGAGCCAAGTGACAAGGAGAAAAGCACAGACACAAATTACACAAAGGAAAATACCAGGTAAGAAATGACAGGACAGTGAGAGTCTGGTCTTTAACTGGGGAGACATGCTTGCCCTTAACGAGGGAGAGAGATTGGGAGACGGGCTTACCCTTAACGAGGGAGAGAGATGGGGAGACGGGCTTACCCTTAACGAGGGAGAGAGATGGGGAGACGGGCTTACCCTTAACGAGGGAGAGAGATGGGGAGACGGGCTTACCCTTAACGAGGGAGAGAGATGGGGAGACGGGCTTACCCTTAACGAGGGAGAGAGATGGGGAGACGGGCTTACCCTTAACGAGGGAGAGAGATGGGGAGACGGGCTTGCCCTTAACGAGGGAGAGAGATGGGGAGACGGGCTTGCCCTTAACGAGGGAGAGAGATGGGGCAGGGAAAAAGATTGAGAGCCAGCAGGCTCGTCCTTAACCAGAAAGAGAGTCATGGTGAAACAGAGAGAGAGAGATGAGAAATGGAGAGACGAATAGATGGCGAACAGGGAGACTTTTTTTTTTTTTGTCCAGAAAAGAGGAGACCAGGAAGTACGTAGACAAACCCTTCTGCCTCTGCTGCCATGTGTAACAGTGCGTCACATAGGCCCCTTGCATAGTCATGGTAAAATATCACAATATAAAAAACTGTTCTGTGTCCTCCCAGGGTTCCTAAGAAAGGTTTTGTGGAAGTTACGGAATTAACGCACGTGAATTACATGAGTAATCTCGTCCGGCTGCGCCCAGGACACATGAACGTGGTCCTCATACTGTCTGGCTCCACCAAGGCCAGCCTGCTGCAGCGCTTTGCCCAGGAAGTGTACACCTTCACAGGGTAAGTGACTGGCAGGGTTACCTGTGATGGGATTTTACTCCATTTCTGCAATGTCTGTCTCCATCATGCTGGGTCTCTGTTTCCTCCTCACACCATGAATATCTGTATCGGTCATGCTGTCTCTTAGAGTGCTCAGGCAGACAGTTACCATGTAACATAAAACCACTGTGTCCGGAGTGAGGGGGGAGGCATATGTTTAGATTGCGGTCTCTTTAGGTTGCTACAAATGATACACAGTCCAGTAACAGTATCTGTTCTCTATCTTACCTGATGCTCAACTGCTGGGGATCCCCTTGAAAATGCTGTGTTACAGGCATTCTTAGGCTGCAGTTTACCCAAATTTTTACATGCATTTTGTTGATAATGTAGTAAAGAAATGTATATATTCTACTTTGAAATTCAAGCATTTGCAGCTGATTTGTAGCTACTGCAGTTAGCTGTCCATAGACCAGGAAGTAGCTACGTCTATCCCTTAACTCACTGCTTGGTGGATTATGTGACTCAGCCCTGGAATCCATTATTTTTCATTCCATTTCCTTTTTCATTCATGCAAATAAATCAATCCAAGCACAGCCCAAACTCCTGGAGGTTTGTATCGGCTTCTGTCTGCTTGCCAGTGGTTCCGTTTACGACGCAGCTAAAGGGGGTTGTGCACATGTCTAGTTAGGAGCTTTCAAGCATTCATTGCTATAGAAGTTTGACTGCCTTTGAATTCTGTTTAGCTCATGCCTGTCCCTGTCATTTAAAACCCTTTAACATTTCCCTTAAATAGTGGGGGGGGAGGGGGGCTCTTCTTTCAGATAATATCATTTTTATTAGTTTACTTTTTTTTTAATTTAGTAGATATCTGGAAATAAAATAACCCCAATGAAAAAACTGATGTAATTTTTCTGCATTATTTTTTTTTTTTTTTTTGGAGGGATATTTTAAGGGGGAAAAAATCTTGCTGACCTGCTGATTGCATCCTCTCCAAGCCCCCCATTCTTTTCTCCAGTCTGTGTGACTTCTGACTTGAGTATTCCCCGGAACAAAGTTCCTCGAGTAATATAGATCATTGAGAGGGAGGTGGGTTGGCATACACGCCACTTCCTTTAGCTCTCTGGAGGAAACCCTTCCTGACTGTCTGACAGCCTTGGCGCTCTTTCCTTTATTTTTATTGAAGTCAGCACTTTGACGGTCTGAATAAGTATTACCGTCTGTCATTCCCTTATTCAAATAAAACAATATCGCCAGTAATCCACAGGGTAAAATATCGCTGGTGTCGCATAATAATCCACACATGAGCCAAAGCTTAATGCTGGAACAAGACTGGTTTAATGGCAAGAAAAGGCATTCAATTTATACAGCATCAAACTCCTCCTCTGAGCCAGCAAGATAATTGAGTTTTGGAAACTTGCTGGCCAGAAAAAGTTTACAATTTCACATTTTTCAGAAATACCATAAACATACATAAAAACCCCTGGGTAGCTGAGCTTTGTGGGATCAACATATTAAAAATTCAGACAAATCCATTCCATTGATTGGATAGTTTTCGAACTGCACCGTGTGGTAGTTTGACTGGTCTGCCTACGAGGTTAAATCCGAAAAAAAGAGTTCCATAGAATTGGTAGCAAGAGTCGGTCTCTGTTCGCGTGAATTCATAAGAAAACTGCCGTAGATAGAGTAAAGCTGATTCGTGCAGAATGCTCCCGTTGTTCATCTGATTTGTTGAATGCCGTTCTACTACTGTACTGGGAAGTAGAACGTAGAGGACTTCCATATAGACCGGGGTTCGTGCGAGTGCCGTGCCCAAAACCGTTCCATGCACTCGATGACCAAGTCCCGCTGGCCGCGTTCGGGAGACAAGATGGCCGCCGTCCATTGTTCTCACCGCGTGCTTTCGTATCCACGAAATGGCGGCCACCTAGGAGCATTAAATTAGTCTGCAGTTTTCGTATGGTTACACAGTGTTCTACGTTCTGATTAGTACCCAGGGTGGTCTCTGTTCATAATAAAGACAAAATTTATATCAAACCACACAATGTGAAAGTGATAAATATATACAAAAATACAACCTGAACTTGACAATATAATCAGGTGATATCTAAAAGTATAAGATAAAATACAACATTAGTGTAATCTGTATTAAGAAAGTTTAAAGTAGGGCAGAGCAGACTGTCACTCACATTTGGCAGAGCCATCCCAGGCTCTGTATAGCAAGCCCAAGGGTGCCAATACAGGCTAACTAGAATCCCAAAGAGTAGATGTAGAAATTTTCAAGAAAAAGTATGGATTTATTGAAAATAAAAAATTCCAAAACTCAAGGTACTAGGGGAGTGGAATCCAAAAAATACAAACAAAAGGATATCCACTTACCCCAAATATAATGACCAAGAGCAGACAAATGAGATAATAACAGGCTAAAATAAAATACAGCTGTATAATAAAAGAATAGCCGCAGACGCGTTTCGGCTCAGAAGCCTTCTTCAATTGCTAATATTGTGATCTTCGGAGCTTGTTTAAATACACTGTATGATTACAGTCACATGTGCGTAGTCTCCGTTTGATTTCGTCACTTCCAGTATTTTCGGATGACGTCCCTTCCGGTTACCGGCATTTGGAACGCATGGTGGAACACAAACATAACCATGCCGTTTTATACCGCCGGATGAAAAGTTCATAATATGTAAAATATGGGTACAGAACAGCCAGGACAATAAATATTAGAAAAAGGAATAATTAACTAATTGAATTAGTACATTGAATGTATACATAAAGGTATATGAGGAAAAAAGAACGTATAAAAAAAAGGGAAGTAATACAAATATAATAAAGGTGATAAGAGTTGGCATAATTAGAAAGTAATAAAAACAATAAAAACATTTGGTAAGAAATATAATTTTAAAGAAATTTCCTATATATTCTTTAAAATAAGCCATACAAAATATATAAAAAAGATTTATAAAAATTATATAGTATAAAATATGATAACACATATAAACTATATATTATTAATCTAAAAATTGGCTGAATTCGAAATCTAAATTAAGTCCATTAGGGGATAATGAATCTACTTCAAAAATCCATTTAATTTCTATCTTAGCCAACTCTTTAACATTGTTTTCACCTCTCCAATTTTTTTCTTTTTTAAAAATAGCCATGAAAGATAATACAGATGGATCACTTCTATGTTTTTCGGCAAAATGTGCTGACACACTATGTTTAAAGGACCACTATAGTGCCAGGAAAACATACTCGTTTTCCTGGCACTATAGTGCCCTGAGGGTGCCCCCACCCTCAGGGACCCCCTCCCGCCTGGCTCTGGAAGGGGAAAGGGGGTTAAACTTACCTTTTTCCAGCGCTGGGCAGAGAGCTCTCCTCCTCCGTCCCTCCTCCTGGGCTGAATGCGCACGCGCGGCAAGAGCTGCGCGCGCATTCAGCCGGTCGCATAGGAAAGCATTTACAATGCTTTCCTATGGACGCTTACGTGCTCGCACTGTGAAAATCACAGTGAGAAGCACGCAAGCGCCTCTAGTGGCTGTCAATGAGACAGCCACTAGAGGCTTTGGGGGAAGGCTTAACCCATTCATAAACATAGCAGTTTCTCTGAAACTGCTATGTTTATAAAAAAATGGGTTAACCCTAGAAGGACCTGGCACCCAGACCACTTCATTAAGCTGAAATGGTCTGGGTGCCTAGAATGGTCCTTTAAGATATCCCCTCTGGATATTGCCCATGTGCTCCGCAATTCTTGTTTTTAAAGCTCTAGTAGTCATTCCAATATACTGCAGACCACACAGGCACTAGAGGAGATATATAACATTAGTCGATTGACAAGTTAAAACCTGGCAGATAGAAAAAAGACGATGGTTATGACAGGAAATAAGAGGTGATATTTTTGTTTTTTAAAAAGAGTTTTCTTACACGCCACACAAGATTTACAAGGATAAAAACCTTGTTCTAAATGAAATTTTTTTTTTTTTTCTTTTTATCTTTAATAAAGCTAGTGGTTAAATGTTGCTTTAAATTTTTTGCACCTCTATATATTATAGTCGGTTTTTCTCCTATAATATTCTTAAGGACTGGATCTGATCTAAGAATATGCCAGTATTTATTAATAATATGTTTAACTTGCTTAGCGTTTTCATTGTAATTTAAAACAATGGGAACAGTCAAAGACATTTCGTTCTTTTTTTATTATAGATTTCTTTTTTGGGTTTTAAAATTTCTTTATGTTCTTTATCTTTAGTTTTCTTGATTTAAAAAAAAAAAAAAAATCTAAAGATTTGGAATCATTTTTCTCCACTAACCTAGTTTTTAAAAATTGTGCTTGTTCCTCAAATATTTTTGTGTCGCTACAATTTTTATACATTCGCAAAAATTGGCTGTTTGGCATATTATGTAGCCATGGGCCATAGTGACAACTGGATGTATCAATGTATCCATTGACATCAACTTTTTTGAAAAATGTTTTAGTGTGAATAGCCTGGTTTTCAATGTATATAAATAAATCCAGAAAGCTGGTGCCAGTAGTACTATGTTCACTGGTGATACGTATATCAGAATTGTTTTCATTAAGAAAATCAACAAAAAGTTGAAGAGATTTCTCATCTCCTTGCCAGATGAAAAAAATATCATCTATGTACCTGCGATAGAGGACCAGATTATGCGCCCTTCGTTCCTCGGAGAGAAAAAGATTTTCCCACCGTGCCATAAAAAGGTTGGCATAGCTGGGCACAAATCTGGTCCCCATCGTGGTACCTTTAAGTTGTAAAAAAAATTTACTATCAAACCAGAAATAGTTATGATGAAGGATAAGTGTGATACTATCCATAATGAAAGTAATTTGTTCTTCATGCATGTCACTTTGATGTCTTAAAAAATACTCTACCGCTTCACAACCCAATGTGTGTGATATACATGTATATAGGCTTGTGACATCACAGGTAACTAAGAAGTAATTTTTCTTCCATTGTATATCCATTAGTAATATAAGTAAAGATGAGGAATCTTTTAAATACGATGGTTGTGAAATTACTAAAGGTCTCAGTTTGGTAAAACAAATGATTTACCGAACAACGAAAAATAAAAGGAATAACTAAGGGAATTAAGTAGCAGGGAGTGGAAATAGCCGAACGGTTACTGGGAAATCCTTCACAAGCATTTTCTATAAACTTTCACAAATAAGACCGTCCCCAGACACCTAAATATAATAACTAGAATTGGGGTCACCTTCAGTCTATTGTATCCGTTTAAGCCGCTCTGTCTCTACTCCCCCAGTCCATTCAGCAAGTATCTGGAATAGCCAAAGTAAGCAACGGGTATCTCTCCAACTGTTATAATCATGTCTCCCATGAACCTTTTCTGTAACCTAGAGTTGCAGGTTTTTTAACATGTGTGCCCGGTGATCCCTAATTCTGCATTCTTCCTTTGTGTTTCAGGAGCAGCTCGCTTCACTTTTCCTTCCTTAATCTGGACAAGCACCGGGAGTGGCTGGAGTACCTGCTGGAGTTTGCGCAGGATGCAGCTCCCATTGCGTACCAGTACGATGAACATTTCCTGGAGAGAGATTACACTGGATACGTGCTGGCATTAAACGGGCACAAGAAATACTTTTGTCTCTTTAAAGCCCAGTCAACCCTTGAAGAGGAGAAGCTCTCAGAGGAGTCAGAACTTTCCCCTCTCTCGGGGGACACACTGAGAAAGATCTCACTGGGCTCTGGAGCGGGCCACATCAAAAAGAAACTTAACAAGTTATCGTTGTGGATGGAGCGGCTGTTAGAAGGATCTTTACAAAGGTTCTATATTCCCTCCTGGCCCGTGCTTGACTGAGACTTTTAAAGGGGCATCACGTCCCATCAAACTGTGAACATGTAGAGGTCTGTCCTGCCAGGGGGATTTGTGTGCTTTAAATGGTTTTCCCAGGATTTATCGAGAACAAAGACTGATTTTTCTGGGGATCAGTTTGTTATGCAAAGAGAGGATTGCGGCATTATCTGCGCTACATCCTGCCTGCTCCATCAAAGACTCCATTGCTGTCTCCCGGGACATCTCATGTGCTGCTCAGTCCAATCCTCACCCATGCTTTCTTAAAGCTAAAGCTTGTCCATCCTGGCATGGGAGCTCTGTCCTTTCTTACAGGAGAGCCTGGGTGAAAACACTAGGTATAGGACACCATTGCTAAACTTACAAGAATAGTCTAATTTATAGAACCTTATTATTTCAGATATAAAAAGTCTATGACTTTGCTTATGTGTAATATTCTGTTTTTTATTGCCATCTGGCTGGGTCGACCTTGCAATGCACTAAGAATGAGGAGCTAGCCACCTTACTAGTCGTTAAAAGTAGCCAGACTCTTGCAGTGAACAAGAGGCAAATGTTAAATGCAGCAGATCAGGGAGTGCTGACCATCAACCTTTTAATGCAGAATATGTACATTTAGAAAATCCACGTACAATCACCTGGGAATAGAGTCTGCTTGGTATCTATTTAAAATTTTTTATTTAAATACCTCTCATAGAAAGTTGCAAATCTAATGTGCAGCGCCACCTGCTAGGACTTACATGCAACATCACCACACTGCCGCTGCCTTTGATTCTTTGTATCAAGGAATATTATTTTACACATGTTCGCTTTATATCTGTTTGTTGTCTTGTCCTCACTCCACTGTTGGTACTGCAAATACATCAGACCTCCTGGGAAGTAGTTGCCGCTTTGGCTTTATAAGATATATTCTGAAGTCCAGCCATGGAATGTAAAGATTGAGGGGAAATATGTAAATCCCAGCTAATATTTAACTATTCATCTGCTGCAGCACAACAAAACATATTGTCTCCCCCTCATTTAACCTTTTAAGAACCGGGAAATATGTCAGAACAGGGAAAGTCAAATATTTATCATGAAATGTCTGGTATGTCGTTGGTCCTTAGAGGGTTAATGACTATGACCCTAACTGGCCAGAATGAGTTTAATCTTAAATGACAAAGTTTTTAGCACACTTTTATCTCAGCCATTACATTGAATACATACGATGAGAAACTACAATGCATAGGAGCTTATAAACCAAGCCAAACTCATTATTTAGAGAATACGTCCCTTAGATATTTCCTTTTCATTGCTGAAGACCCCTCCTTACAATATTCTTAATAAATTTGCATATATAAAATGTATATGTAAAATGCCAGCCTTTTTTGAGATTCACTGCTGTAAATTGTAATTGTTCAGTAATTTCTCACTATACAAGTAAATCTCAGATCTTTTTAAATACTTGATTATAAAATGTCAAATCTACTTTCTTCCTGTCTCTTCCCATTCTTTTCTTGTATAAATGGTTGTCAGAATGAAAGAGCAAAATTTGTAACTACAACAAGCCCTCTGCTGGTAAAAGGCGCACAATGGTGCAGAGCTGGGCAAGAACTAGCGTTCAAATCTTCTACAGAAAACATTTCATTTATCTGTTTGTAACCATGCAATGTTATGTTCAGCTGTTTGTGTTCCCGTTAAGATCTGTTTCAGCTGACATTAATACAAATGACTGTCCTGTGGAATGTAAGTGGCCGGGTTCACATTACAGCGTAGAACCCTGAAGCCGTATAGAGTGTTTGATTCTCGCCGGTGTCACAATCTTTCTGGCATTGAAAGGGGTTCACCTCCCACACGTCAAATACGAATTGTTATTTTAGGAATAACCTTGATGACTGCTTACATTAAATCCGGCAACGCGACAGAACCGTTTTGCACTTTTTTTTTTTTTTTTAGGAAAAAATTATTTATTTTATCTAGTTTTTTTTTTTAATTATTTAACTTAACGATTGTCATTTGTATATTTTTGTTTGTTTTAAAAAAATGACTGCATCAGAAACCTAAATAAACTATTTTACTGTGTGATGTATGAACTGTATTTTATTTTTTATATTTATAATTTTTTTTCGTAAGATGTCTATGGACAGTTTGTGTTTGTGATATGACAAGTTTGTAGATGCAAATCCCTTAACATGACTTTCTATAAAACCAAAATGACTCCAAAACATTGAGGAGTTTATTCACCAAATGGCAAATTGTAGAGAACTGGTTATTTTTAGGCCAACACATACAAACGGTTTAAACCAATGACCTCTAAATACATCCACGAAGATTTATATTGCAACGTTTGCAAATCTGCTGGCTTTACCTGAATTTGAAAACAGTCTCTTATTAGCCTAAAATGTTTCAATGCTGTTTTCAGTTCCCCTCGATGTAATGTTTAATGAATAAACCTAGTATGTTCACTACCATACATTATTCACCTAGTAATCACTGCTATCGTATGAATGTATAATGAAAGTCAAAGAAATTAACGCAAACAGTTAATGAACTAAATGGCTTATAATACTTACTGACTTACTTTTGAGAAAAGAATCCGATTTTTTCCAAACTTTGTACAATTTCAGTTACAATGTTATAGCTTATGAAAATAATTTTCACACTTTGTCAGTTGCTTAGAAGTCTGTTTCTGGTGTACGGTATGTGTGGTTCAATACTGCGACCATTTTACTCCAGTTTTGCATAAAAAAGGCCAGTTTAACCATTTACCACATTATATACCTTCAGAATTTATTGTATGTGCAGTGATAAATGGGACATTTACCAGCTCTGTTTGCCAGTATATATACTATTTAATGGTTTGTTGTTGTTGTTGTTGTTGTTGTTTTTTGCTGATTTAATGTGCAAAGGTCGCAGGTTTGTTGCACTTTTTTTTTTCTTTACACATTGGATAGTATATGATATATTCTGGTAGGAACACATTGATTGGATAGTGTCTGGTATATTCTGGTAGGAACACATTGAATGGATAGTGTCTGGTATATTCTGGTATGAACACATTGAATGGATAGTGTCTGGTAGGAACACATTGATTGGATAGTGTCTGATATATTCTGGTAGGAACACATTGATTGGATAGTGTATGGTATATTCTGGTAGGAACACATTGAATGGATAGTGTCTGGTAGGAACACATTGATTGGATAGTGTATGGTATATTCTGGTAGGAACACATTGATTGGATAGTGTCTGGTAGGAACACATTGATTGGATAGTGTCTGATATATTCGGTTAGGAAATCCCTGTATTCTGAGTTTTATAGATTAGAAAGGCACATGGGTTTTGTTTTCCGTGACACAGGGTTTGTTTTTGTTTTTTTGCAGAGTGAGCAAGTTTGAGAGGTTTCAAAATTCTTTATAAAGTTGTGCTGAGTGTGGGCAAACTGATGTTGAGGAATCGATCTAAATATTCTGCACTTATTTTTAGGAAATAACACTGGGTTTAAACCTGTTTTAGTGAAAGTGAGAGGCAGGGATAACTTAACGGATCTTTATAAATGATAAAGTAAGAACGGGTTAAATTGGGAAAATAACAGCAGCTGTTCGGGTAAGACTGGTTTGGACAAATGAGTATTTAAAAGTCTCTGAAGTAAACTCCCAGGAATTGGAAATATGTAAAATGTGATGGTAATGGTGGCATTAAATGTTGGTGAACTGTCCCTTTATTAGATGAGAAATGAAGAAGACGTTACAGGGACCGTGCAGACAATGGCACATTGAGTGTGTGCTACGTGAGCAGACTGGAAATGTCTAAGGATACACACAAACTGAATTACTTGAGCTTACTAGCTAGTAAAACCAGAGAGTGGATAAACATTTAGGTGCCTGAATACTGCATATTTATGATGATGCCTATTGTATTCATTTAAAGCAGGTTGGTCATGAAATCTCTCCCAAATTCTGGATCTCTCCCTCTAGCCCCTATCCCCCACACATTGTATAGTGGCCACAGGGCTGGTACAAGCTACCTCTTTTCCTTTGTGAGGGCCGAGAGCCTGTCTAATGGGCATGCACAAAATGCTTGGCTGTTTTGGACTTTCTTAAACCTGGGTTGACTCTCAGGATCATGTGAGAGTCAACACTGAGGAAAGTAAAGAGCTAGACAGCCATTGATGAAGGATGTGGAGTGTTACTAATACTTTATCCTTTGTCAACCTGCAACTTCTACATAGCGAAAAGTAGTCCCTCTAACCATTTTCAGAAATAAAACGGATTGGAAATTTTGAACATGCCCAAAACAAAGGGACAGAGCTTCTTCAAATGCCTCAGAAGCTGCGGCGATGTGAGAGAGAACGTGGAACCCCAAAATTTCAGAAATTGTGTTTCAATTGCTGGTTTATTATCAGATGTGCGCTAGGTACAACTTGTTTGGAGAGAGATTAGTGTCATTTATTATATAAATACCGCCATGAACAGCGGCCTGGAAAAAATAACAGTACGTATGGATACATTTTCCTTCATTTTGAATTTGATTTTCAGTTTACTGTTGCACTGAGTGTCTGTGGATCACACACTTGTTTGACATGCGCCAATATTCCTACCATAAGGTTCTTGTAGAAGCCTGTAGCTCTGTGTGCATGGTACAGTAAATGCAGCACAATGTGAGCTGGGATGCCATTACCGCTAAGGATGTGGCTTTATTTTCTTCCAAGTATCACATCTTCAATGAATGCCGTGTCTCTCGAGCTTTAGTAAATAGATTCCTGCTTGGCCTGGAGTCCATGTGCGCTCCCCGATAAAGTCCGGGTGGGGGGGTGTGTGCAGGATTAAGTGTGGGTTTTCCAGAGAGTTAATAATCTTTCACCTTGGGCAGCACGCAAAGCATTTCAAACAGAAGGTTAGCTGCCGTTAGCGCTGTATTACCTGAAAAATAAAGAAATAAATCATTGTAAATACTAGAAGTTCTGTGAGCCAGGAAAACACGTCAATCTGTGAGCGATGTCCGTTATAAAATGGCGTGATTGACATGTCGAGCGTCATGTATAGTGCGTCTTATTTACAGCTAGATAATTAGTATTAAGGGCTAGTCACAACCCATCGAGGATATAGCTGAACACAAGATGCTGTATGTCTCCTTAATCCCAAGGCTGGCTAAGATTAAGGAGAGTTACAGTTATCACATTAACGTAGGCTGTACTCCCATTCCTGTTAAGAATGCTAGATCCTGCATGATGTTGAAGTTAGATCCCTTCAACTCAATGCATTTTAATGGGGAATTCTGAATAAGAAACCAAGCTTTTCCCATATAAAAGCCATCTTGGCTCACCCAAAATGCCATTGATTTCAATACACTGGGTACCCCTCTTATCAAAACAACATTTAGCCTGAGCCCGAGCCGGAGCTGAGCTAATGGTGCCAGTTTTTGATCGAAATTGTGGTTTGGCTCAGGCTAAATATTATTGTACGACGAGGAGGGGTGTCCAGTGTGTGGAAACCGATGCCAACATGGCCAAGATGGATTCAGAATTTAGTTTATATGGCATTGATTTCAAGGTGGCATTTTGATGCCCCCCTTTACGTGGCAAATGTGTTGTTTTATTTTTAAGCGGAAGATTAAATGTACTACTTTACAGAAACAAGAGCCAACTTAATATATGCAGCTAATAACATTTAGTATGGTTTTTATCATTTTCATTAATTATATCAGAAATGTGTAGAAATATGGTATGTATATAAATACTGTATTATTATTTATATTGCACGGTTTATATTATTTTCATGCATTTTGAATGAATAAAACGTTAGATGAATAAGAAGCTTTTTTTCTGCATTGTAATGATGGCATTGGGCGCTATTTTTCAATTATTTACCTAGCGCCATCAGATTCCATAGCGCTGTACAATGTAAAGAGTGGCTCACGTACCATGGACAAGTCTTTCATTAAAATGAAGAAAGGTAATAAAAACAAAATTAAAAAAAGGAGGATCCATCACTTCTCCAGAACTGACTTCTTACCATGAAATCACCTAAAATGACTTTTAACCTATTTATCATGTGATGTTCAGGGGGGGTGCGGGGATTCTGCCACTTGTGATGTCTATTGATGTATGCTTGTATGGGGGAACTCAGGGGATAGGGAGAGACTAATTAATGAGTTAATACTCTCCCTTTATCTTCACTGCTGCCATCTTTCTCTACCTTGTGGTTTCACCTGCCGTGATCTGCGCCAATGGTGGACTTATCCACGTGTTTCCATATGGTTTTATTAAATTTCCTGCCCGAGGTTTCTCATCCTGTCCTAAAGCCCTAAATCTTTTAATATATTTCTGATCCCACACGCTCACCAGAAAGATCATACATCGGAGCCACTTCCACCAAGTCACAGCCCACAATATTCAGCCCCTGGCAGCCACGGATTATTTCCAGAGCCTGGATAAAAAATAAATAAAAAATACAGGGTTATTTCTCTGTCACACAATTATCCCACATATACACACAGCCGCTTTATTATAGTGTCACTGATAATCCCACATACACACACAGCCGCTGTATTATAATATCATTGATAATCCCACATACACACACAGCCGCTGTATTATAATATCATTGATAATCCCATATACACACACAGCCGCTGTATTATAGTGTCACTGATAATCCCACATACACACACAGCCGCTGTATTATAATATCATTGATAATCCCACATACACACACAGCCGCTGTATTATAATATCATTGATAATCCCATATACACACACAGCCGCTGTATTATAGTGTCACTGATAATCCCACATACACACACAGCCGCTGTATTATAATATCATTGATAATCCCACATACACACACAGCCGCTGTATTATAATATCATTGATAATCCCATATACACACACAGCCGCTGTATTATAGTGTCACTGATAATCCCACATACACACACAGCCGCTGTATTATAATATCACTGATAATCCCACATACACACACAGCCGCTGTATTATAATATCACTGATAATCCCACATACACACACAGCCGCTGTATTATAGTGTCACTGATAATCCCACATACACACACAGCCGCTGTATTATAGTATCCCTGATAATCCCACATATATACACAGCCGCTGTATTATAGTGTCACTGATAATCCCACATATACACACAGCCGCTGTATTATAGTATCACTGATAAACCCACATATTCTTACAGTTACTGTATCACAGAAATTAAGTTATATATACCGGTACAGCTAGTATATTACAGTGTATAATCCCATGTACCTGTGGGGTGGTAAGACCAGCAATCTCTGGAGTCCCAGTCCCTGGAGCAAAAGTTGGATCTAGTCCATCAATATCAAAACTGATGTAAACAGGTTTTTCCCCCATTTGGAGCCTAACTTCTTCCATCAAAGGAACCAGAGATTTCAGCCAGCAGTCATGTGCGTACACCACCCGAAACCCCTGCAGAATAAAGAGGATTATTTAAAGGTTGAAACTGCTTTCATGAGTCTCCTGTGATCTTCCAGGCTGATCAAGAGATGTGAGTTCTAGGTTGCTCATTGGTAGTCTATGTTAAGGTTAGAGATACAAGTTACAGGTTGCTCATTGGTAGTCAATGGTAAGATTAGATATATGTGTTCTAGGTTACTCATGTAGTGTGAAGGTTAGTGATACAAGTTCTAGGTTACTCATGTAGTGTGAAGGTTAGTGATACGAGTTCTAGGTTACTCAGGTAATTATTGTGAAGATTGTAGATACAAGTTCTAGGTTACTCACTGGTAGGTCATGTGAAGCTTAGAGATGCAAGTTCTAGGTTACTCAGTGGAAGTTAAAGGGACACTATAGTCACCAGAACAACTACAGCTTATTGTATTTGTTCTGGTGAGTACAATCATTCCCTTCAGGCTTTTTGTTGTAAACACAGTTTCAGAGAAAATGCAGTATTTACATTACAGTGTAGGGATACCTCCACTGGCCACTCCTCAGATGGCTGCTAGAGGTGCTTCCTGGGGCGGTGCTGCATGGAGACACTGAACTGTCCTCATAAAGATTCATTGATTTAATGTATCTCTATGCGGAGATGCTGATTGGCCAGGGCTGTGTTTGGCTTGTGCTGGCTCCAGGGCCGGACTGGTCCACCGGGATACCGGGAAATTTCCCGGTGGGCCGTCGGCACCTGGGGCTGGCCCTTTAAATACTGCAGCCGCCTGAGCGCTCTGTGAAGAAGAGGGGGGGAGTGGGGGGGGAATAAAATAGGGAGGGGACAACAAGAGGGGGGGAATAAAAAGAGAGGAGGGGGGAACAAAAAGAGGGGGGGAATAAAGAAGAGGAGGAGGAACAAGAAGAGGGGGGGAATAAGATGGGGGGGAATAACAAGAAGAGGGGAGGGAGGGAGGGATAAGAAGAGGGGGGAATAAGCAGGAGGTGGAACAAGAAGAGGAGGGGGGGAACAAGAACAGGGGAGGGGGGGAATAAGAAGAGGGGAGGGGGGGAATAAGATGAGGGGGGAACAAGATGAGGGGAATAATAAGATGAGGGGGGGGAATAATAAGATGAGGGGGGGGGAATAAGATGAGGGGGGGGGGAATAATAAGATGAGGGGGGGGAATAAGATGAGGGAGGGAGGATAAAGAAGAGGGGGGAATAAGAAGAGGGAGGGGGGGGAATAAGATGAGGGGGAATAAGAAGAGTGGAGGGAAGTGGGAATAAGAAGAGGGGAGGGGAATAAGAAGAGGGGAAGAAAAGAAGAGGGGAGGAAAAGAAGAGGGAGGAAAAGAAGAGGGAGGAAAGAAGAGGGGAGGAAAAGAAGAGGGAGGAAAGAAGAGGGAGGAAAAGAAGAGGGGAGGAAAAAGAAGAGGGAGGAAAAGAATGAGGAGGAAGAAGAGGGAGGGGAGGGGAATAAGAAGAAGGAGGGGAATAAGAAAGAAGGGGAGGGGGGAAGAAGGAGGGGAATAAGAAGAAGGAGGCAAGAAGGAGGGGGAATAAGAAGAAGGGGAGGGGGGGAATAAGAAGAAGGGGCAGCTCTATAGGACAGGGGCCAAGACAGCGAGCTCTTTCACACTACGCGCGCGCGCACACACACACACAATGCATCCACACACACACACAATGCAACCCTTACACACAAAGACAATGCATCCTTTGCACACATACACAGAAACAGACAATGCAAACCCGTACACACACATGCAAACACACACACTTCTTTTCTTACATACACATAGAAACACAATGCATCTCTTACACTCAATGCACACACATACAGACACACACCTTGCATCCCTTATGCATACAAACACAGATTCACACAATGCATCCCTTACACACAACCAGAAACACATAATACATCCCTTATACACAAATACACACTGCTTCCACTACACACAAACACACTACATCACCTGCACAAACTAGTAACCCTATACACTACATACCATAAGCACACATATTAGATCCTCTACAATAACACATAACACATCCCCTACACACTCCACTCCCTGTGAGCGAACTCATGGGTGGGTGGAACTTATGAGTGGGCCTTATGGGCATACTCACCGTCAGGCCCTGGGGCCCAGACCTTGAGCTGTGTAAGGGGACCCAAAAAAATTGAGCTGCTTCCAATTCTCCCAGAACATTGAATTTTGTGACCACAGCTGCAAACAGCCTCCAGAGATCCTGTTCTACACCAGACCAGTGGAGCCAAACTGCAGCCCATCATCATCCTCATCTGCTTGTAAGTAGGCAATCTAGTATATTATTAGTGACACTAATCTATAATGTACCTCACATTAAAGGGACACTATAGCTTAATGAAGTGGTTCTGGTGTCTATAGCTGGTCCCTGCAGGCTTTTTAATGTAAACACACACTGTGTGCAGCACTGGCGTTAGTTCATATGGCAGATCATATGGGTGGGGCATTGTGATGTGACATGTGGGGGCAGCAAATTTTTATTTTGTCTAGGGCGGCAAAAATCCTTGCACCGGCTCTGATCCTGGGCAGGTGCACCAGTCTACTTGACTGGTTTTGCCCCCCAGGCCTAAGGCTGCCAGCCCTCCCCTGGTCGCTGGGGAGGTCTTTTGGCGGCCGCTGGCGGACTTGTCCTGGCGGCCACTGAGGGAGCTGCGCGAGCTGCGCTGGCTCTGCTCCCCAGCACGCAGCTGAATGAGACCGGCGCCGGAATATGACGTCATATTCCGGCGCCAGTCTCATTCAGCAGCGCGCGAGGGCGGGAGGGCACTAACACAGGAAGCACCTCTAGTGACCGTCTGAGTGACTGTCACTAGCAGTGTCACTTTGAAGCAATGTAAACACTGCCTTTTGTCTGAAAAGTCAGTGTTTACGTTGAAAAGCCTGTAGGGACATGCTATAGACACCAGTACCACCACATTAAGCTGTGTGTGTGCGTCTGCTAGTGAGTGAGCTTGCTTGCATGCGTGTGCCTGCTAGTGAGTGAGCTTGTGTTTTTATGTCAATGAGCTGATGTATATCAGTGAGATTGTGTGTGTCACTGAAATGTCAGTGAAATTGCCTGTGTCTGCATGTGAGTATGCTTACTGTATAATTAAACGTTTTACCCAGAAAGGACCAATATTCTGTATTAGAAAAAGCAATATATATATATATATATTACTCAATCATCTGTCCTGGCAAGACATAGCCTTACATATTACACGCGACAATATATGGCGCAGTGACATATGGGGCTGGCACAAATTTTTTTTCCAGGGCTGCTTTGTATCTCCAGTCCGGCCCTGGCTGGCTCTGCCCCTGATCTGCCTCCTTGACAGTCTCAGCCAATCCTATGGGGAAGAACAAGTTAGTTCTTCTTCTGCCACTCTTAGATGAACGGTATAGTGTATCTTTAAGTGTTCAAAAACATAAGCCATTGAAATGGTGGTTACAGACTCTGAATACTGGCCAGTTGAGGTCTCTATATAATACCTGTTCTCTGCCAAATTTATAAGGGTCAGAGCTGTAATTGGAACCTCGGAGCCCAATTTGTACAACTCTCTTACAGTCGAGGAGCCCGTCATCAACACAACGTCTGAATGGTGTCCCATGATAGATCTTCTCCCCCAGGGCCGTATCTCCAGTGTCATCGTGTGCGTCGACATGTACCAAGCCAACAGGTCCATGTCTACAACCAAAAGATATATACATAGGACAAAAAGCCTGCAGTCACCGAAACATACATATATTATAAGCCTGCTGCCTGCAATCAATATTACAGACTCTTACATTCCACTTCAAATTTACTTTAAAACTGACAAAGATTTTTTCTTCTTTTTCAAAACATCTGACTTTGGTAAAAAAAAAATTGGTATTTAGTTACAATTTATTATCACACATTGCATTAGACTGCCATAACCCCAATGTTCCCAATTTTTGGCAGTTCCTGCTCTACACCAACCAGTGCCGCTTTAATGAGATTGCGTGAGACTCTGATAAAAGCCTGTTAAACGTTCAGTTTGGTTCTGCGTGAAGATTGACTCTGGGGTAAAGCTCTAATAGTGAAAGAAATGGCAGGAACGTTACACTGGTTTCCACAGTGATAGCTCCACTTTTAGAACATATTCCCAGAATTCTGGTATGTTTAATGTGTTATTAGTGGATCTTTAAGTTACGGTTTTGCAGATCCCAAAACCAGAGAAGAATCAAGGCTCCACAAGGCGCGAAGCCAGGTTATTAGTTTGCTCTTCATCCTAGGGGTGCTGAACAAGGCCAAGCAAATTCACGGTTCTGGGGTTCCAGTCTAACCCTTGGGCTGTCTTACGTTTACCCCTGCTCTGCCCACTAACTAACTGCCTGAATCCATGTCCGAATCATGTTAGTACAGAGGGGACGGACTGCCATAGCAGGTGTTATCAGTGGTCTTACTGCACTCAGAACATCATGGCACAAACTCGGTAATATTACCATATGTAAACTCCAGACTCCTACAGCACACCTGCTATCTAACTCAAACTGTCCGTCCTGGGCATGCTGGCATTGAGCGCCTGTTACATGTAGCTATACTCCGGAATATTGACCGGTATACTCTCACTCTGCAAGCGGACATCGTCACTTACTTTTCAGCCACCGCTTGAAGGATGGGATAGGTGATAGTGTGATCTCCACCTGCATGGAACCGAGAAATGACTTACATCACAAGCCCATACTGCACTATTTACCATTTTTAATATATTATGCACACACCCTCTTTAATTACACCACCCATAACGCTTAGAGTGAGGCCGGGCTTTAATGGAAACAGACAAAATGTACGCAGAATGAGCACGTCTTACATCTGCCCTTAGACAACAGGCTAAAACCGTAGAAAACCCAGTAATTTATATAATTTAATCCATCAGTCTGAGAAACGACTAATACGGTAAACTCTCTTGTATTTCTAAGCATTCTTTGATATTCGTATGTGGATTAAAATTTTCTGTTTCCAACCTCAGGACTGCCCCCGCTCAGAAAAACGAAGGGTTAAACTCATTCTGTATAACCCTATGTGCTCGCTGTGGGTTATGGTGTCCTCCCATAAATTGCCTATGCCCCATGGAGTAGCCCAAGTTTTGTTTGTCACAAGTCACCTGACCCTAGTACAATGGAGATTCCAGCATGGGGGGCGTTATTTACCATCACACTGATCACTTCCTGCTTTGTCTTATGGTAGCACCCTGCGCAGACGCTGATCATGTGACACCAGACTTTGGACAGGGTCACATGATAAATCCTAGCGCTGATTTCTGGTAGATTTACCTAGAGTTAATGGAATACATCCCGCTGCCATTATTTTCTGATAAGCCTCCTTGATCCTGCGGCAGCTGTCCGGCAGATTATACAAGTTGACATTCACGTCTCCAATATCCGCCACCATTATGGAGTCGAAAGGGGCGGATCTGGTTGCGTTGTTGTATCTGCGGACCATGATTGATTCTGCCCTGATGTGACGTGGTCCAAACCTGAAAAATCAATTAAAAGAGAATTAGTATCAGAACAAGAGGTGCTGAATCCGAGCAAGTTTCTTAAAAATGTATTTTCAAAAGGAATACAGATAAAACCGACAAAAAAACTTTATGTAAGTCTTTAATTGAATCTGACAAATTGAGTGGGGGCAGCCATTTTGAACTAATTTCCATAAGTATTCTTACCTATTAATGAACTTCACTCCCATTGGTGAAATACCAGCAGTTTCATTAATCCTGTAGGATTGACTTTTCAGTCAGCCATTCCCCGGAGATAAAATAATCTCTGAATAGTATTTCTAAAACTAGGAAACTATTATAATATTAACAACAACAACAACAACAACAACAACAACAACAACTCAAATGGATGAATTCGCTAAACACCGGAAGTAGTTAATAGTAAAATTTTGTCTAAATTAATCCAGATCAGTATTTTTTGCTTAATGTTTATTGTACAGAATTTAATTCACTATATTTGGGTGTCAGTGAATAAACCCCACTTTATATTTCATTTCTTTAAATACATCTGGGGACATGAAACAACAGCACGGTCATCTTTAATAGCACTTCAAACTACCAGATATCTGCATCCATATATTTAAAGGAATTATTTATATTAAAAAAAAATTAAAAATAATAATAATGATCTCTAATTCATTACAAGAAAACCACCCTCTCGCTCCAAAGAGATCACATGGAATAAGGACACTTTAATTTTAGGGGTGTGAGTGGGGTGGAGCTGCTGGGGTGTGGCAATTGGTGGGGCGGTGCTGAAAATTTTTAGGTGGCTTACTAATAATTTCTAGAACTAAAATATAATTTAGAGCAAGAACAATGTATCTTATATACACAGACTGATTGATTAACACATTTATTGTAGTTTAAAGGGACACTATAGTCACCCAGACCACTTCAGCTCAATGAAGTGGTCTGGGTGCCAGGTCCCTCAGGTTTTAACCATTCACATGTAAACATAGCAGTTTCAGATAAACTACTATGTTTACATTTGGGGTTAATCCAACCTCTAGTGACTGTCTTCCTGACAGCCACTAGAGGCCTATCTGTGACGCTGGATGCGAAATTCACATCCAGCGTGCAGAGCCTCTATAGGAAAGCATTGAGAAATGCTTTCCTATAGGTAGTTTGAATGCGCATGTGGCACTTGCCGTGCATGCACATTCCACTCCACTCGGGAGCTGACATCGGCGGGGGAGGAGAGGTCACCAGCACCGAGGGAGCCCAGCGCTGAATTAAGGTAAGTGGCTGAAGGGGTTTTAACCATTTCAGCACCACGGGAGGGGGACCCCGAGGGGTGGGGCACCCTTAGGGCACTACAGTGTCAGGAAAACCGCTTTGTTTTCCTGAGACTATATTGATCCCTTAAAAAGACACATTACTGGGAGTATTATTGCTGTGGAGCTCTGTTATACACTCGGACACATTACTGGTAGTATTATTGCTGTTGAGCTCTGTTATACACTCAGACACATTACTGGGAGTATTATTGCTGTGAGCTCTGTTACACACTTGGACACATTACTGATAGTATTATTGCTGTGGAGCTCTGTTATACACTCAGACACATTACTGGGAGTATTATTGCTGTTGAGCTCTGTTATACACTCGGACACATTACTGGGAGTATTATTGCTGTGGAGCTGTGTTATACACTCACACATTACTGGGAGTTTTAAGGCTGTGGAGCTCTGTTATATACTCAGACACACCAACAATATGGAGCTCCTAGAAAAGAGGGACTTGGGCCCAAAATAGGGACTGCGCACTATTGTTCTGGTTTGGACACACTTTGTCCTCCATTTCATTACAAACGAGTAAATGCACACATTAAACATCAATACAACTACAGCTCATTGTATTATTACAGCTTATTATATTATTACACACAGCTCATTGTATAATTACAGCTTATTATGTTATTATACACAGCTCATTGTATCATTAGATTGTTGCAGTTTATTGTATCATTAAAGCTCATTACTTGATTACTTTCTTATATCAGGAGAGCTGATGGTTTCACACCCCTGATTTAGGGTTAGATTAATAAAGCCATTATTTAAGCTGTGCTTAACACTTTAGTTTTATATGTTTATTAATTAAATGTCTGACTAGATTATTATAGGGTTAGGATTGAAATTGTATTTAACCCTTTAGGGTGAGATTCAAATTGGCACTATTGAAATGTTTTTGAACCCCTTATGGTTAGGTTACAAGACCCATGATTCAAATGGTGTTTAACCATTTAGAGTGTGGAGCCAAGCTCTCTGGCAATGAATGTGCTATAGGTAGTTTCTTGCCTTGCTCCTGGGCGGTTAGAGGTTCCGGTATCTAGGGGTACCCCGATAAAAGCAGCATCTAGCCCCTCTGCGGTTTCCTGGTAGGGCAGTTTCATCATTGTGCCAATTCCAGCCATGCGGGCGACATACTGAGCACTCGGTGGCACATTAAACTTGCCCCCTGAGGCCCAGCGATGTGGGGGACTGAATGAATCCCTCAATCCGTCCGTCAAGCCTGGCAGGGTCGCACGGCTGCAGGAGTGCATGCCTCTGAGAGTAGTCCTTTGCATACAGAGGTTTAGCCTGCCGGTGGCAATAGAGACGGGTACAGGATTCCCAGACGCCGTTGTGGATGGAAGGAGCTGGGTCCTGATTGAGGGCCGGGCCCGGAGCATGTATCTCACAGTCGCCATAATAAGTGTTCTGCTTCACACTCAGCTCAAAGTGCAGCTATGTGTGTGCAACAAGAAAATTTCTGCCCAGCCTCCTCCCAGGGACACACAGCTGCCAAAATCTGTACCAGACAAAACGGGCTTGGAGGGATCTCATTACTGCAGTATTTATAACACCTAGTAACAGTACTCCCATTTTATTATCAGACTCAGTGATACACCGGGATATAATGCCACACGCTGTCAATATCCGGTACTGGGAACATCACTATCATGTTCACTGTTATTCACTAAGTGAGAATTCAAACAAAATGGCAAAATAAACACCCTCTCCACCTCAATTCTGGTTTTACTTTGGGTTTGCAACTCACATGTTAATGTTGCAATATTTGTTATCTGTCACTCAGCAATGACATGATGACCGATATTTTGTTCTTTGCATGCATATCTCTAATAAAGAATTAAAAAATTAAAACTCACTTTGAATTTCTGACAATACTCACTTATGTAAATAACTGTCTGATTCTGTTTACTGCAGCGGAGAGTACCCACTCTGCAAAAACAGAATGGAGTTGTATGCATTGTGCGCCAACAGAGAGGATGCAGCATAAAACAGAATGCACCTGCAATCATGGTTTATTATACATTTCCTGCCTGTTCCATGTTACATTTTGTATTTATTGTGTATTAATTTTGTTTTTGTATTTTATTGTACGCTATTGTATCAATGCAATGATTTGTGGACCCAGGACATATTTGAAAACGAGAGAAATCTCAATGTATCTTTCCTGGTAAAATATTTTATAAATAAATAAATAAATGTATATATATTTATAATAAAACTCCTGGGGAGCTGCCGGCCCACCTTGCTGACTGGCCGCATGTCGTAGCAGCTTCTCCAGGCCAAGGAGGCTCGAGGTGATTTAGGTGCCACGTGTGCGTCATTTGGACTTGGCATGGGGGCCTATGAAGTGTCCCGCAAGGGGGTGGGATGAATTGAGGGGCCGGAGAACCTGTGTGGAATATATTAGCCTCTAGCATAGGGGTTCTCAACCAAGTCCTCGGGACCCCCTACCAGTCCAGGATTTGGGAATTACCTGGGTGTGTCTCAGGTGTTTAGAAAAAGGGAAAAAAACACCTTAGACTCTAAGGTGTTTTTTTTCTTTTTCGAAACACCTGAGACACACCCAGGTAATCCCTAAACCCTGGACTGGTAGGGGGTCCTGAGGACTAACGTTGAGAACCCCTGCTCTAGCCAGATTGTAATTCGTTTTTTTCTGTGGCACTGTACATTTGGCGTTCTGATTTTTATTATCTCACATTATTTCTTGGCCGCTCCATTTTTAGTTCATTGCTGGTCACTGTGGAGGTTTCAGCCTTGATATGATCTGACACGGTTTAATCTGTTTGTACACAGACCTCCAGTTTTAGAAGGGGGTATTTGGACATGTCTTCTACTACAGCTAACTCTATTTACGTACACAGGGGAATCTTCTATACTAAGGAGGAATGTCTCATTAGATAAATGTTAAGGCTTGGCCTGCAGTTGTGGGAGGGGCATGGTACCTATTTAAACCCCCCTACTCACCTTCCTCCGTCCCTTAAGTTTTTTAGCGACTCACATGTCCTGGGGCCTGCTGTTTCAACGCTGTTTCGTTGGTCCTCGGTCCTTCTGGGCTCTGCTCTTGCTCTTCTTGTTGTCACTGGCACTCCGAGTTTCCGTGGTCCCTCCTGACGTCCTTTTCTGCTTTGTGAGTTACTTACCCTGCCGTCGCGCCGCGGTCGCAGTCCCGCGACATCTTCGCGGTTTGGGTATCTCCCCTTCCCCCCTCTAATCCTTTTCGCGTGTTTTTCGTTTTGATTTACATCCTCCTGTCGTTTGCCCGTTCGGGAGTTCTTATTATTTCTGTTCCTCTTGCTGGTTGGGTCGCTTGCGCATGTTTTGTAGTGAGCAAGTCCCTTAATTATTGTTCAGTTTTTAACAACATAGTGGGTGTCATTTATACATCCCTCCAGTAGTGCATATATAATCCTTGGTGCTGGGAGATCGTAGACTTTGGTCGGGGGGTACTCGGGTGGGGGAACCACAACGGCATGCACTTCTGTTCCCTCTGCATAATGCTGTATGCCTCCTAGCACATGATTGGGGTTCCTTACATGCTTTCCATACTCTGACACGTGGGGGTTCGTTTGACTGCAATCCGGATCTCAACACTTTAGGCTGGTATATCCGTTTATGACATGCAGTGATTTACCAGTTACGCAATTTCGCTTTGATTTCCACGATCTCGGAATTTTACTTCTCGCGATTTCCGGCTTGATAATTGTTATGGTCTATGGGGGATGTTCACTAATCAACCACAACCAGATTTGACACTTTCATATTTGCTTACGGCAAACCCGTTTTTCATCCCACGGTACATCCTGAGTTAGCTGTGGCTGGCTGTCAGGGTCGTAGGTGTCCACTAGTTGTAATTCCCTCTGGCTTCTTCGCTTTAGATTAGTGGTCCCGTGAGGTCAACACCCATCCTCATACTCGGAGGTACTACTCCCTCGGGCCAAATCATAGTTAGTCGTCTCGCATTGTGGCATAGAGAGGGCCTCACCTGTCACTCCCATTCTATCTTATGTTTAACTGTCACCGAGATGCCAACACCCTGCCACAAAGTTTCAGTGGCCACGTTATCCCCTCGCGCCAACTCAAAGATAGAGCCTCTCACGCCGCTTGGCATCTAGCAGGGCCTCACATGTCACCAAACCTAGTATCTAATTGTTTCGCTTTTTGGCATTAGCAAGTATGCCAGCACACGCACACACACACATTGGGTCGCTTATGCTCTGTTTCTTTGTCTTTTCACGCTGTGGAGTTTTCGGCTACTCCTACCTTCTTTTCGTGTTCTGGTCTCTTCCTCGCTTCGCTGCGGTTCTTGCGAGTCCACCTTTTTCCCTCCCCGGCAGCCTTTCGAAAAGCCGAACTCTCAGCGTCTGTCCGCCTCCATGGGTTGTGCTGTTGCTGGAGGGGGCCCCCGATTTCGCTCTTCTCCGCTGCTGTTGTCCATGGGGCGGTTTTGGATGGCAACTTGGGTACCTGGCGTCTGCCGCTCTGGCTGGTTCCGAGCCGGTCTTCCTGCATCTTTTTCATATGATCTCTCCTGGGCCTCCTCTATGCCTTCCGCATGGCTCTGCCTGCGGCCTCTACCGTAGCCGTTGTTGTTCCCTGCGTTTCACGTTCTGCTCGCGGACTGCCAGCCTTGTTGGCTCGTGGTTGTCATCTTTCACGTCTGGCTCTTCCTACTGGCGCTCACGGTACGTGTTAGGTCCTTCTTCTCCTTGAGGGCCTTTTCTGTTGCTGTCTCTTTTGATTTGTTGTCTGCGGTTGGTTTTTCGCTTTTTGCGACTGTAGCGGAACGCCAATAATAAATCCACGAATTCCGCTGGTCCAGAAACGAATCCACAGTCAAGCGCTGAAACAACAAGGCAATATCCCCAACCTCCCAATAACCGGACGAGACACAGTTTTGGGAGTCAACTGAAATCCTTTTAATCGGCAAGACAATTTATACAAGTCCCCATGCAATGGGTTTCCTGAGTCCCTCCCCAGGGGCACTCCCAGAGGGGACTACATGGGGGACTTACAGGACAACATATTTCTCCCATCAGGCACTGCTGCACGAGAGGGATCATCCTCCCAGAATGCACCGTTAAGGGGATTATCCCCTCGTGCAGCAGAACCGGCAATTCACACAAAAATCTATAACTTATTAAATACACGGTGGATTTACACGAATGGGCGTTCGGTAGATAGCTGGGGTCTGGGCGCATCATTCGTGAGATTGCCGCTCAGATCCCAGCTAAAATAACCGAACGCCGCACAGAAAACACATTTCTTTTAAAACATAAGAAAAGAACCGATTACTCCTAGTGAACACGATCCTGAAACTCCCGAACGTCCTGGAGGCTCAGCAGTGTTCGTGCCGTCGAATGGCTATGGGTAACACTATGCGTTCGACAACTCGGTCCCGCTGAGGAACAAAGGATCCAAGATGGCCGACCGCCGCATGGTCGGTAGTCGAACGACGGCCACCCAGGAGAGCCTCTAATAACCGATTGCAACAATGTTGCAATCGGTTAACTAGCGCCACACGCCTCTAAGTGTGTGGGCTATTAGGGGGTATCGCGTTCGGTTCACGAACGGCTTTCTAAAGTGCCGTTCGTGAAACGAAAGAAAATCCCCATACAAAACCGCCATTTGCATTCGGCGGAAACAGCAGTACAGGCAATACAGAAAATACATTAACATCTACATAAGTGTAAAGCGCATATCTCGCCCGACCTATTGGCAACCCTTAAAGGCACAGTCTCTAGTTATTGTCCAAGTGGCTAGGTTTGCCACAGCGACCTCTAATTTACATCAACTCTACCTATCCGGATTACAACTTCACATGCTGCACGGGTTTACCATTCATACGCAGTTTCCATGTCCGCATACCAGATTAGTACCTTACACAAGACATTTCCGGTACCCGGGACAATTTTCACATCTTACAGATTCCCCATCTGCATCCATTTTTTTCAATCACTATCAGACCTATTAGTTGCCTGTCCTTATGAACCAAGCACCAACCTTTACATGTAGGGCAATAACTGCTTGATCCAAGGATAATCTGACTGCCATTATGGGGTCAAGAAGGAATTTTTTCCCAGCTTTTTGCAAATTGGCAGCGCTTCAAACTGGGTTTTTCGCCTTCTTTTGGATCAACTGTTTAACACAAATGTGAGGAAGGCTGTACTTGATGGGCACTAGTCACTTTAACTTTGTATCTATTTGTTGAGCCACTATTCTTGCTTCCACAGTTTCTTGGGTCCCACATACTTTCCCACAGTCACCACGTCCTTCTTGCAGCATTATCTTAGGAAGTCTCACCTATTCATGCAGCCTACTGATTACCCTCTCTATCCCCACATTTAGTCTACCCTAGGGGGCCAACACGTTTAATATACCTTACTTCCCCTGGCACAATTAAGAGCGCCGTTTCAAGTGCTGGGCAACTATTTCCCCGCTAGGCATTTATCATACAGCTAGGCAATTAGGTTTTGTTGATTGTTTTTTCGTTTCTGACAGGTACTCAATTTTTGCCCTCTTTTATTACAGGCCTACCACAACGTCGGTTCCGGCACACCTCAACCGACTTATTTGCCCCTCACACAAATGTTAAGGCTTGACCTGCAGTTGTAGGAGGGGCATGGCATCTATTTAAACCCCCCTACTCACCTTCCTCCGTCCCGTACGTTTTTTAGTGACTCGCATGTCCCCACCCTCCACTCCCTCTATCTATACTTTCATTACACCTCATGGGTGGGCCCTCTTTTATTACAGGCCTACCACAACGTCGCTTCCGGCACACCTCAACCAACTTATTTCCCCTACGGCCTTATTTGCCCCTCATACAACTATTACTCTAAAATAATCTGCCATAGCCCTGCTGATCTCTCCATAATATATTGTTTATGCTATCCTGTATCTATGCATTTTGCAGATCATATGACGTGCATATTGCTACCACTTCGATAGCTCTTACATATCTTGGATTGACGTGCCCTCTCTCCTCCGAGTGTTTTTATTTTAGTTTATTCCTGAAATAATGACATGTTATTCACACCTAATTACAGTTTTTAAATAAATCTCTTCTATTCTAAAACAACATTGGACAAACAATATTAAACTATAGTTTTTTCCTTCGGCAGCAGAAATGCCTAATTTCTGTCCGTAACCAGTAGGTGTTTTGGGATTTTTTCCCCCAGAATTTTCTTGTCCTTGATGCATAAAAAAGGGCATAAAATTGTGCGTTTTATTTCCAGAACTGCTCCATATTTATAAAAAGTAAAGGTTCTGCCTTATATATAAACTTTCCTAAAAGCGATTCTTACATAATAATAGCTATTATTTACGAAGGTCGAAAATGTAGCAAATTGAATTTAAATGGCAAACTTTAGGTAAAAACAGGTGATGTGAAAACATTTACCATCACAGTCAGAGTTTGACTATTTTAGCCTGAATTTTGCAATTTAATTTTGAATCCACTAAAATTAAGAAAAAAAACCTCATCATTGTGTACTTTAAATGTCACCATACGCATGTATTGCAATTTCCTTCCTGGATTTCTCATTCTTACCATCAAAATAAAACAAGATTTATGTTTCTCTATTTCACCAACTACTCTGATGCCTCCATTAACCCTACAAATACACCTTGCAACAAAATATATCCTTTTACAGATCTCTGGATCTACCTCACCTTCATCAGGGAGCATTCAGACATTGAAATGGAATTTAACTGAAATAATTACACATGCAGCTGCAAAAGTAAGTCAAACTAGGATGATTACAATTTGCAATAAATGTCTGCTATAAAAGAGGTCTGACATTCAGCGATTTGAGTTTTTAGAAATACAGAAAAGGTCAAATAGTTCGTGCATGAACTACATGTGCCACAAAAACGTCCAAACTGGAATGTGTCAACAAGAACATTCTCAAAAATAATAGGTTGCTCCCGGACAAGTTGCAAGGGCGCAGAGAGCAAAGGTCACCGGCAATGTTAGACAGGCCTTCACAGGACAGGCGATAAGCTACAGTCACAAAAATCAGGTCTATCAGCACCTCTGTGGATCACTGGGTTACTCAGTGAAGGGAATTCCAAATGAATTTCTAATTTAAGGCAAAATATCAAAATTGTAAGAATTGCAGAATTAACTCTAATTTGGCTATTTTGGGCTAAATACATTCTCCCTATAGTAATACATTCTACTCTACATGCTCTACACCAACCAGTGCCCGCTTTAATGAGATTGCGGGAGACTCTACTAAAGGCCCGTTAAACACACAGTTTGGTTCTGCATGAAGATTAACTCTGGGGCAAAGCTCTAATAGTGAAGGAAAAGGCAGGAACGTTACATTGGTTTCCACGGTGATAGCTCCAGTTTTAGAACATATTCCCAGAATTCTGGTACGTTTAACCCCTTATGGACACATGACATGTCATGATTCCCCTTTATTCCAGAAGTTTGGTCCTTAAGGGGTTAAAGGGTTAATATGTTATTGGGGGATATTTTGGATCTAGAGTTAGTTTCATGGTCGCCACTTGGAAACTATATCTAATCAAGGACAAAGCAGACAGTCACACAAAACCTGGATATTGTGAAAGAGTAAGTAAGTACAGGTAACTAGTAGCACATGTTTGCACTGAGTTGGGTTAACTGTTTACCTTATTGAGCAGACAGTTTAACGTGATCATGGGATTCCCTGCTACCATTGCTGTGCCATGCGTTCATGTAATGATGGTAAAATACATGTTTATCAGGTCATTCACTATACTTCGACGTTCAGTGGATTAAATCCAAATTGTAAAATTGAGGCTAAAACAAGCTAAGCTCTGCCTCTGGCTGACATGGAATTTTTAGCTTTAATTGTTCAGTTCGGATTTAATCTGCTAAAATTCAGTTTACTAACTAGCCTTGAATGAGTGCAAACCGTTATTCCTTATAATGACCTCTGCCATCCCTCTCACTCCATCCTCATATCACCACACAGCCTTCTATAAAATGCTCCTGGGTGTGATCCCTAATGCTGCCCACTGCTAATAATTGTAAAGGATGATTGCTAGTCCAGAGAGCGACACATAACTAGCAAATATAAGGAAGTCAAGAAACAGATGTGATTAATACAATATATTCAGGTTACATTCAGACATATAATTAATATATGTGATATCTAATAAATAACACAGATTGCGTGACAAATCTTCCTTCTCATTTTATCTCTAGTTTCTCTGGTCCGAAAGACATTGGTAGCATCTGGTGCAGTGTTTTTATTATGTACGTCCCATCAGATTTGGTTAGAATAATTTCCAATTCTTGTCCAAACTGAGAAAAGAAGAAAAATGAAAGTTATATTATATAACTGCTATTTCTATATCATTGTTGAAATCAGTTCAATCTTCTAACCAAACCAGTATCTGCCAATCATACCGTGTACCAAACCTTCTATCTCCCAATCAACCCAGCCCTCTGTCTGCCAATCATACCACCATCCCAGCCCTCTGTCTGCCAATCATCCCACCATCCCAGCCCTCTGTCTGCCAATCATCCCACCATCCCAGCCCTCTGTCTCCCAATCATCCCACCATCCCAGCCCTCTGTCTGCCAATCATCCCACCATCCCAGCCCTCTGTCTGCCAATCATCCCACCATCCCAGCCCTCTGTCTCCCAATCATCCCACCATCAGCCCTCTGTCTGCCAATCATCCCACCTTCCCGGCCCTCTGTCTGCCAATCATCCCACCATCCCAGCCCTCTGTCTCCCAATCATCCCACCATCCCAGCCCTCTGTCTGCCAATCATCCCACCATCCCAGCCCTCTGTCTGCCAATCATCCCACCATCCCGGCCCTCTGTCTGCCAATCATCCCACCTTCCCGGCCCTCTGTCAGCCAATCATCCCACCATCCCAGCCCTCTGCCTGCCAATCATACCACCTTCCCAGCCCTCTGTCTGCCAATCATCCCACCATCCTGGCCCTCTGTCTGCCAATCATCCCACCATCCCGGCCCTCTGTCTGCCAATCATCCCACCATCCCGGCCCTCTGTCTGCCAATCATCCCACCATCCCAGCCCTCTGTCTGTCAATCATCCCACCATCCCAGCCCTCTGTCTGTCAATCATCCCACCATCCATATGTTCTGTCTCCTGACGAAATGTTATCTCTGGTTTATGTGTTAAAGGTTTACATGACTGATAAGGTCAGAATCTGTCTCTAGAACATCAGGGTCCTTATGAAACCTACCTCTCTCATAACCTGTCTGCAGGCTCCACACGGGCTGATAAAGTCACTCTCCACATCTCTGGAAGAGAAAAGTATCTCGGCTCAGGAAAGAGAAACAATATATTCCACTTCAGTTAGAATGGGATGCGAGCTTGTGAATTGAACCCAAAATCTGGTCAGTTCATGTTCTCAGGTATCTCCCAGCCTCTGGCCTCCCTCCACACCCTGACTGTCTAATCTCGTGTATTTCTATATATTTATAACACGTATATGATGGTTCCCTTTTAAGGCTATTTACACCCAACGTCGTTGCCCAACAGCGAGGGGTTAATCTCAGTATGGGCAGCGATTCCAAACGAAATAATGAGTTGTGCTGAATTACCCCCGAATTGCAACATATAAACCAGATTAGCAAATTTTGGAAAAAAATTCAGGTGTCAATCACTACAAACTCACACTTTGGGGAATACATTCATTGACGCATTTCAGTTGTTTTAAAAACCTCACGAAAAATGTGCTGAACAAATTAGTAATTTACTCTGTTAACCTCATGAATTAAGAAAGATTATTTTTTCTTTATTTTTGGGGGGACATGGGGGGGGGGGGAGAGGTTTGTATGACAGCATGGCATAACAATGCATATTGAGTCCATTATATCCACAGTTAATCATTAATATCACACGAAGGCCTAAAATATATCAATTCTAGGTATTTTTTTGACAAGTTTAACTTTTCAGAAAGGAGAAATTAATAATTAACACATTAGCTGAGCTGGAACCGCGAATCGTACAGGATTTAACAAGTGCACAAATTAGACCACATTAGCTGAGCTGGAACCGCGAATCATACAGGATTTAACAAGTGCACAAATTAGACCACATTAGCTGAGCTGGAACCGCGAATCGTACAGGATTTAACAAGTGCACAAATTAGACCACATTAGCTGAGCTGGAACCGCGAATCGTACAGGATTTAACAAGTGCACAGATTAGACCACATTAGCTGAGCTGGAACCGCGAATCGTACAGGATTTAACAAGTGCACAGATTAGACCACATTAGCTGAGCTGGAACCGCGAATCGTTCAGGATTTAACAAATGCACAAATTAGACCACATTAGCTGAGCTGGAACCGCGAATCGTACAGGATTTAACAAGTGCACAAATTAGACCACATTAGCTGAGCTGGAACCGTGAATCGTACAGGATTTAACAAGTGCACAAATTAGACCACATTAGCTGAGCTGGAACCGCGAATCGTACAGGATTTAACAAGTGCACAAATTAGACCACATTAGCTGAGCTGGAACCGCGAATCGTACAGGATTTAACAAGTGCACAGATTAGACCACATTAGCTGAGCTGGAACCGCGAATCGTACAGGATTTAACAAGTGCACAGATTAGACCACATTAGCTGAGCTGGAATCGCGAATCGTACAGGATTTAACAAGTGCACAGATTAGACCACATTAGCTGAGCTGGAACCGCGAATCGTACAGGATTTAACAAGTGCACAGATTAGACCACATTAGCTGAGCTGGAACCGCGAATCGTACAATCGTACAGGATTTAACAAGTGCACAGATTAGACCACATTAGCTGAGCTGGAACCGCGAATCGTACAGGATTTAACAAGTGCACAGATTAGACCACATTAGCTGAGCTGGAACCGCGAATCGTACAGGATTTAACAAGTGCACAGATTAGACCACATTAGCTGAGCTGGAACCGCACAGGATTTAACAAGTGCACAGATTAGACCACATTAGCTGAGCTGGAACCGCGAATCGTACAGGATTTAACAAGTGCACAGATTAGACCACATTAGCTGAGCTGGAACCGCGAATCGTACAGGATTTAACAAGTGCACAGATTAGACCACATTAGCTGAGCTGGAATCGCGAATCGTACAGGATTTAACAAGTGCACAAATTAGACCACATTAGCTGAGCTGGAACCGCGAATCGTACAGGATTTAACAAGTGCACAAATTAGACCACATTAGCTGAGCTGGAACCGCGAATCGTACAGGATTTAACAAGTGCACAAATTAGACCACATTAGCTGAGCTGGAACCGCGAATCGTACAGGATTTAACAAGTGCACAAATTAGACCACATTAGCTGAGCTGGAACAATCGTACAGGATTTAACAAGTGCACAGATTAGACCACATTAGCTGAGCTGGAACCGCGAATCGTACAGGATTTAACAAGTGCACAGATTAGACCACATTAGCTGAGCTGGAATCGCGAATCGTACAGGATTTAACAAGTGCACAAATTAGACCACATTAGCTGAGCTGGAACCGCGAATCGTACAGGATTTAACAAGTGCACAAATTAGACCACATTAGCTGAGCTGGAACCGCACAGGATTTAACAAGTGCACAAATTAGACCACATTAGCTGAGCTGGAACCGCGAATCGTACAGGATTTAACAAGTGCACAGATTAGACCACATTAGCTGAGCTGGAACCGCGAATCGTACAGGATTTAACAAGTGCACAAATTAGGCCACATTAGCTGAGCTGGAACACTGGATGAGTTAGAGAAAGTTTTTCGTGCACCTGTTTTGACCTAAGTGTATTAGTTCCAGTTAGTGCCTGGAGTGCCCATTAAAGAAACAAATGTGTTGTTGTGTACTATCCCTTTAAGGATAAAATGCAATATTGCATATAAAATAAAGATGGAATATTTCACTTGGAGAGGGGAATAACAGGACTATTTTGTATATACGGACTATCATAGCATTCTAGACACTGATGTGTTTTAATCTATTATGGATCTGTCCCATGAGCTACCTTAAGGAGAGTCACCCAGTGAATGTGCAATGTGGTGTAATTTCAATTGGCGCAATGATGTGGTGATTTACAGTAAGACACAATGCAGAATTGATCATAGGAACACGTCAATAAACATGAAAGAACCCATGTAGTGCATGTAGTACACGCTACTTCATGTTCCATTTTACATCATCACCACTGACGAACGCATTTCTAGTAAAGTTTTGTAAGATTGTTTAATTCTTACACAACTCACGCAGTCTGTGGTTAGTTCAGTGATGATCACACAGAATACAATGTGTTCTATTGTCTGTTCATGTTCCTATTCACAAAACTAGGACTTCACAATCTCAGACCAAAATAGTCAAGCTGGAAAAATAAAGGAATCTGATTATTTTTCTTCAGATTTTCAGTTCTGCTGTTTTACTTTAAACATTGAGCCTGACTGCTGAAACGTTTGAGACTTAATGCCCAATAATCATGGTTTATGCCGCCAGCCCTCCACTAAACACTAAAATAAAAAATCTATAACTTACCTGAGATTTAGCACAGGGCAAAGCTAATTACATCCGTCTTCAGTACAAAGCGCATTGAAAACACATTTTTTGCACAGAATTGACATTCGGCAGTCCAGAATATATGATGTGGTATTTATATTTCAATCCTTTTTTTTTAATTGAATGCAATTCATTGTGTACTGAATAAAGCCCATGAAATTTAATGCAATCATTTACTACAGAAAGCGTTGGTTGCACTCACGTTGCGACTGCTATGGCTTTAAATTCCTTGTAGCCCTCGGAGACCGCTTTCTGGATAGCGGTGCGTTCTGCGCATGTACCAAGTGTGTAGCATGCGTTTTCTATATTGCAGCCTGCGAGACACAATGGACACAAAATCACAGTTTACACTTTTCAGAGTTGCAGCAAAGTTCATACAATTTATTCGCAGGTTGTCTATTTGTGATCCTTATGTGTGTTTTACTCATTAAACTCAGACATCAAACATGAAAGTGAATAAGCTTGCTTACCACCACTTTTTCACATTTTTCAAAGCCTGTCTAGGGCGGGATATATACTGCACCGTCACTACATAATTTGGGATTTTACACTTTGATGAAAGATGGCAATGCCGATATTCCACACACTGCCAATTCTATGCATTACTGGATGTCTGCGTTTTATCATTTCCAGCATTCTATAACATGCATAATAAAAGTATAAATTAAAAAGATGCTCTAAACACCAAAACAACTTTATCTCAATGAAGCAGTTTTGGTGTATAGAACATGCCTATGCAGTCTCACTGCTCAATTCTCTGCCATTTAGGAGTTAAATCACTTTGTGTTTATGCAGCCCTAGTTACACCTCCCTGCCTGTGACTTGCACAGCCTTCCTAAACACTTCCTGTAAAGAGAGCTAAAGTTTACATTTCTTTATTGTACAGTCCTACCTACTGCTCTGTTAATAGCCTGCTAGACCCTGCAGCCGCCTCCTATTTGCGATTAAAGATCAAATAACAGAGCAGGAGATCAAAAACGTCTAAAGTAAACACACTGTGCTGTATCTAATTGAACATAAAACCATTTTTTATGGAGACATTGTCAGTCACAGCCAAACAGAAATAAACATAAACAGAAAAAGGGATTTATCTCCTCAATGGCAGAGAAGTGAGCAGTGAGGAGCCCTGATCTATATACTAAAACCATTTTATTAAGATAAAGTTGTTTTGGTGCTTAGATTTTCTCTTTAATAAACTCTTGATGACTCTTTTGGAATCCAGTCCCCTCCTGTAACATATACTCATCTTAAAATATCCAAATATTATCCATATTTTCAGTCAGTATGGGAATTCTTCACTAAACTGTGCATTTGTAAAGCATTAATAAAGTAATGCAAATTTTGGGCCACAACAGCCAACCCGAAAAACTGCTGATTTGGAGAATTTGTAGCATATGTTTTTTTAGCATAAAATGTAAATTGCAATTGTCATTTCTCTATAACTAATAGTTCATTGAATAAACAACCTTACAAAAAAATGCAGACATATGCATGCAACACTTATTATTTATAAAATATTTTACCAGGAAGGATACATTGAGATTTCTCTCCTTTTCAAGTATGTCCTGGGTCCACAAACATTGCATTGTTACAATAGGATACAATAAAATACAAAAACAATATTAATACACAATAAATACAAAGTTTAACACGAACAGGTAGGAAATATATAATCAACCATGACAGGTGCATTCTGTTTTGAGGTATGTAGAGAGGGGTCTCTTAAAGGACTTTAGGCTTGGGGAAGATTTTAAATTGTGGGGGAGGTCGTTCCACAATTGCGGCGCTCTGTAGGAGAAGGAGGATCGGGCCGCTTTCTTTTTGTATTGAGGTAGACTAAATAAAGTGTTGGTACTGGATTGGAGGTTATAGGAGGTGGGAACAGCCGGGGAGATCATTTTGTTTAGGTAGGGTGGGAGTTTATATGTTCAACATTATCACTTCCGGCACGCTCTTGTCAATTAAAGGATTGCTACGGCAAATATTAACCCACTGATTGCTGGCGAAGATACAAAACCTTGCTGGTGAAACACAAGCAGCAAATAAAATGCTTTCTTTCCCAACAAACTATATTTCTAAAACACCTGTGTTCAAGGTCTGGAGCAGAACAGGTGTGTTTAAGTGTCTGGAAATGAATTTAGAGTGCAATAAATCCTGACAGGAAGAAAGTCTAGTGCTGCTGAAAGAACGTGGGTAGTGCGGAAGGTGTTTCTAGTGGTGGGGGGGATAGCTGAGTTTTAAATCGCAGAAGAAAGACCTGAAGGAAATTGTAACAAACTATGCTAAAAAGTCGCTGAGTGAGCTTAATGTGCAAACAGAGAACAATCCCAGGCAGGTTCAAAAATAATAAAAGTGGAAAGACACAGGAGATTAAATGGAGATAGAGAAGACACGGGTTTGTATAAATACTTGCCCAGGTAGACTTTCCCATCGTGAGTCAACAGCGCAGCACCCACACGGAATTTACTGTACGGGCAGTAGGCGAATTTCTTGGCTTCGTGACTATTGACAAGGAGTTCTTGAATAATCTCTGGACCCAACGACGTGACCTGGCCACCATTTGCATGTCCACACTGCGTATCTGTTACGCCATCCTCGCAGCGAACACGGTTGCTCATCTTCTGGAAAAACTTCTACGGCCAGTGTTCAACAAACAAGGAATCCAGGCAAAGTGACAGCGACTACAGATTGGCTGTTTCCGCAGTCTGCGTGTATCGGGCAGCGATAGTATAATATGGCAGAGAGTATCTGAGTGTTTATCCAGTTAGGTATTATTAGTAACTGTGTCTATGTATTAATCTGTTATCTATTATATGTGACCAGTTACTGTGTATCAAAAATAGTTACAGTAGATAATGATTTAACTTAAGTGACACAATGTTACCTATCCCTATCTATCTATCTGTCTGTCTGTGTGTGTCTCCCTATTTATCTCTGTGTCTCTGCTCTCTCTTGCAGTTTATATCGTTGTAAATCTGTGGGTGTGTATGCACGGGTTAATACTCTGTCATTTCTTTAAACGTGTTTCCTTTGTCATTGGCCGGTTCTGACAATGGCTGAGTCTCTCAGAGCAGAATGCAGTCAGTATTACTGTAACTCTGTATCACTGAGCTCATTGGTAGAATGCACACAATGGGCTGACCTGCTCACCCTATAGGTGTCCTCTGCATTTCAACCAGCACGTAACAGCAACAAACTGCTCTCTGTAATCTCTGTGTCATTGCTCCCTGTTAAACTCATCTTTTACCAAAAATACACCTTGTCACATTGCCAAGGCATTAAACCGAACTACCAGAGTTCTTAACTAACAATAGGCTCTGTCTATGGAGGAACCTGCAGCCTCGCAGGATGCTCCATAGATCTCAGTATTGCACTCTCTCGCATGCGCAGCACCAGGAGTGGAAGAGGAGTTTGGGTATGAAGATGGCAGCAGCCGCAAGGGAGAGTCTGAGGTAAGTAAAACTAACTTATCTGCACCCCGCAGCCAACAAGCACACTCCAGATTTGTCTGTTTCAGGGGTCTTTGCAAAATATGCAAAGCCCACCAAAAATGTACAAATTCGCTTGAAACTACAATAAATGTGTTTAGAAATTAGTCTGTGTAAATAAGATACATTGTTCTTGTTATAAATTATATTTTAGTTATATGAAAACCTAAAGTTTCACAGAACAGCCCTTCCCCTGGCCACACACCCTCACACTCATAACAGCCCTGTCCATGGTCACGCCCCCCACTCTCACATCAGTTTTGCCCCTGGTCACATCCAGAACAGCCCTGCCCCTGGTCACACCCCCCACCCTCACATCAGTTTTGCCCCTGGTCACACCCCCACTCATATTCAGAACCGCCCTGCCCCTGGTCACACCCCCACTCACAATCAGAACAGCCACACCCCATCTCATACTCAGAACCGCCCTGCCCCTGGTCACACCCCCACTCACATTCAGAACAGCCACACCCCATCTCATACTCAGAACCGCCCTGCCCCTGGTCACACCCCCACTCACATTCAGAACAGCCACACCCCATCTCATACTCAGAACCGCCCTGCCCCTGGTCACACCCCCACTCACATTCAGAACAGCCACACCCCATCTCATACTCAGAACTACCCCGACCCTGGCCACACCGACACTCACACTCAGAACAGCCCCGCCCCCACTCACACCCCTAAAATTAAAGTGTCTCTCTGTGTCCATGTGAAATGTTGGGAAATGTGCGAAAGTCACCTCAGAAGGAATGTTTGAGTCACCTCACGTGAAATAAGTGAAAAGTTTAAGAGTGTTAATATAAAACAGTTAGATGCGTTTATTGCTGTGAAAGGTCAGTTCTAACAATCCTTTACAGCGAAACGTGCTGTGATTGGTTCATTCCACACTCGCCGGAATGCAGTAAACAGGGTTATACGTGACCCCCCACCTCCAACCTGGGGTCACTGACTGCAAGGACAGAAACTCTAAGTGGGCAGGTTATGCTTTTCAGAGTTTAACCCCATAAATACCAGCTGGGTGTCATAAACCAAATAGTGGTAATTCGCAGGGAAATAAAGTATTTACTTCATGATATGAGGGGCTGACTGTGTTTCATGGATTAATAAGGTGTGAGCTCAAATTAACTCTTTATCCATCTGTGAGTACACTCAGAATATGGAGTACACTCAGAATATGGAGTACGCTCAGAATTTGGAGTACGCTCAGAATTTGGAGTACGCTCAGAATTTGGAGTACACTCAGAATTGCAATGCATCATGGGACATTCACGTCTCAATTTCCAATTGTTTGATATGTTTCCCAAATGATTTCATGTTTTTGGATTAACGTTTTAAAATGATTTAATCTTATGAAAAATATATCAGTTTTGTAAACAAATAATTACATTTATATATTTTTATATTTGGTGTATGTTTTGGTATTTTAATATGTTTAAATAATTATTTTAACAGTCTATCCAAAAATATGAAGTTATTTGGAAAGCCTATCCAAGAATATTAAAATTGAAGGCTTAGTCTGTAAACATCTGTGGAGCCAAGATACGCATTACTGCTATAGAGCAGCATCAAAGGGACTCTCCAATGCCAGGAAAGGTTTGCTTTGAAGTGAATGAGCCAGGGGGTGGTCGGTGTTCGGTAGTTTTATCTACCGATCAGGGAAAAACAAAAGTACAGAAATAACAGTGGTAGTTTCTTCACATTGCAGTTTATGAAAACTGCAATAATTACACTTGTAGGGTTAAGGGTGATGGGAGACCCAGACCCCTCCAATGGGCAGCAGTGGTTTGGGTGCCTGTAGTGTCCCTTTAAAGAGTAGCTGTTACATGTGAGATTTTTACATCGCAATAGCCAACTAAAAGGTACCAATGGATTGCACAATTAATAAATAAATCGAGACTGTTTTCTCGTTGTTCAATTCTCACCTGGCTGCCTGTGCACACTCTGTAAATTAATTTAACCCCACGGTTTTGCCCTACCTGCATGTAATTATGGGCTCAGACCAGGCCCTCACTAATTTCTATCCTCTGGCTGGTGATTTAATTATAATAATGACTGCTGTGTAATCAGTGAGATCTAAGCTTTGCAGTCCAGGCCTACAAATCATCGCTATTAAATCGTTCAGCCAGTCGCTGCCTTCGAGGGATTCCCGTATTCTTCAATTAATGTGCAGTATATCAGAGCTTTGACAATCCCAAGGCTTCCTAAGGATCCCAATGTGTTCAAATCCCATCTATACAGAGAACAACTCACATAGCCGCCCGCGTTCTCACCTGGTCAGACATTCGGATTCATTGCTGTTTGTGGGCATGTTGGTGGTTTCTGAAACACAGCATTTACTGCACCAAAATTATTAAAATAGACAAAATACTCCCTCTACCCCGCACCTTCTCCAGTCTGACTATTTATACCCAGATTGCCTCTCCTATTCCTTCAATTTGTGTTAACAAACAAAGTTTAAGGATTCTCCGTCTCGCACCTCCTTTATTTATATAGTTTGATACATACATACCTCCCAACTGTCCCTATTCCGGAGGGACAGTCCCTATTTTGTACTCAAATCGTTATTTTCTAGGAGCTCCATATTGTTGGTGTGTCTGAGTGTATGACAGAGCTCCACAGCAATAATACTCCCAGTAACGTGTCTGAGTGTATAACAGAGCTCCACAGCAATAATACTCCCAGTAATGTGTCTGAGTGTATAACAGAGCCCCACAGCAATAATACTCCCAGTAATGTGTCTGAGTGTATAACAGAGCTCCACAGCAATAATACTCCCAGTAATGTGTCTGAGTGTATAACAGAGCTCCACAGCAATAATACTCCCAGTAATGTGTCTAAGTGTATTACAGAGCTCCACAGCAATAATACTCCCAGTAATGTGTCTGAGCGTATAACAGAGCTCCACAGTAATAATACTCCCAGTAATGTGTCTGAGTGTATAACAGAGCTCCACAGCAAAAATACTCCCAGCAATGTGTCTGAGCGTATAACAGAGTCCCACAGTAATAATACTCACAGTAATGTGTCTGAGCGTATAACAGAGCTCCACAGCAATAATACTCCCAGTAATGTGTCTGAGTGTATAACAGAGCTGCACAGCAATAATACTTCCAGTAATGTGTCTCAGTGTATAACGGAGCTCCACAGCAATAATACTCCCAGTAATGTGTCTGAGTGTATAACAGAGCTCCACAGCAATAATACTTCCAATAATGTGTCTGAGTGTATAACAGAGCTCCACAGTAATAATACTCCCAGTAATGTGTCTGAGTGTATAACAGAGCTCCACAGCAATAATACTCCCAGTAATGTGTCTGAGTGTATAACAGAGCTCCACAGCAATAATACTCCAGTAATGTGTCTGAGTGTATAACAGAGCTCCACAGCAATAATTCTCCCAGTAATGTGTCTGAGTGTATAACAGAGCTCCACAGCAATAATACTCCCAGTAATGTGTCTGAGTGTATAACAGAGCTCCACAGCAATAATACTCCCAGTAATGTGTCTGAGTGTATAACAGAGCTCCACAGCAATAATACTCCCAGTAATGTGTCTGAGTGTATACCAGAGCCCCACAGCAATAATACTCCCAGTAATGTGTCTGAGTGTATAACAGAGCTCCACAGCAATAATACTCCCAGTAATGTGTCTGAGTGTATAACAGAGCCCCACAGCAATAATTCTCCCAGTAATGTGTCTGAGTGTATAACAGAGCTCCACAGCAATAATACTCCCAGTAATGTGTCTTTAAACTACACTAAATGTGTTTAGAAATCAGTCTGTGTAAATAAGATGCATTGTTCTTCTAAATTACTTTTTAGTTGTAGAAATCGTTATTAGTAAGTCACCTGAAAAATCTCAGAACAGCTCTGCCCATGGCCACCCCCTAATTTACACTCAGGACAGCCCCGTCACTGCCCACACCCCCCCACTCACACTCAGAACAGCCCCTGGCCACACACACCACTCATATCCCTAACATTAAAGTGTCCCTCTTTGTCCATGTGACATGTTGCCCGCGGCATGTCAGACGCCGGTCGCTCAACAAACATCCCCTTTTATGATACGGCGCCGACGTTATAGCAGCAATGCCGTGAATTTTCAAAGTATTCCACGCTCCTTGATGTTTTGGGGGCGTGGATTTAAAGCAAAATATGTTCCCCTATAAAAGAGGGGCTTTTGATTTGGGGTTCGCTGGTTAGTCCCTCTAGTGCAAATTGCTTTCGGATTGTGTTCTCTGGTATTTGTTGACTTGGCTTGTATATTTTCACTATTCTGTTTTCTGGTATTTTGACTCGGTTCGCTTTTCTCGTTTATCCTGATTTCTGGTTCCCTGACTCGATAATTCCTCAACGTTATTCAGATCTCTGGTTTTCCTAGATTTTGGCTATTTCTTGACTATTCTCTCACTGTCCACGTTAAATCCAGCCTTTTTAAGGTACGGTAATACTTTTTCTCATTTTAGGGTTACATTCTGCATGTTGGGGTCACTTTGTCGTGGCCGTATATAGACCCCAATATATATCTTCAAAACCAACTGTCCTGTATTTAATTTGAAGGGGCTCCTGAATATTAAAGTACAGAAGATATGCAATGGACAGATTGAAATGAATTAAGAGATTCTGAATCTCAGTTCTTTTTAATCCCAAGTGATCCATCTAGGACTTTGTAAAATTACACCAAAACCTCACAGAGAAAGAGCTGAACCCCAGTTAATGAGGCTAGGTAGGTTAAAAGGAGGAAGTTGAATAAGACGTTCAAGAAGCTGACATGAAACAAGGCCTTGGGGGAAGCATGGGTGTCGGAACCAGGAGATGGGGGGACGAACTGCCCACAAATCTGGTGTAACTCTAAAGTTGACGTGTTACCCTGTCTATACCGTCATGCAGTGCAGGGCTTTAATACCCAGTGACGGCATAGATCGTCATGCAGTAACGGTACCAGCGGGCATTAAATCCCTGTCGGCATCTTTTAATATAGTTAGTGGCCCCAGACTAAGTGTGCACTGCGCAGAACTCTTCAAATACCATAGCTGGACGATCTTGCTCAGCTGTGGGATTTATGTCACAGCCCCGAGCCAACGATGCTAAAAAAAAAAAAAAAAAGGGAACATCTGGTTTATTTTGCTACCTGGGGGTCTCCTCTGTCTGTTGGTGACATCAACAGAGGGAATTCCTTGA